CTTCTTTCTCCATCCCATGTTTCCACCCACCCACCCACCCATTCATTCGCTGCTCCTCTCATTTGTAATCCCAGGATGTGAAGAAGGGTGATCAGGTGGAGGTGACACTGGCACCGGAGGAGCTAGAGGAGCTGGCTGGTGCTGCTGCCCTGGCTGCTTCTTTCTCCATCCCATGTTTCCACCCACCACCCACCACCCGTTCGTTGCTGCTCCTTTCATTTGTAATACCAGGACGTGAAGAAGGGTGATCGCGTGGAGGTGACACTGGCACCAGAGGAGCTAGAGGAGCTGGATGATGCTGCTCTTGCTGCCAAGTGAGTGCTTGACTGCTTCTACCACTTGTATCCGTTCACAAGGGGCAATAGGTCACTGTGTCAGCTCCAGGATTCTCTTGAGGCGACTCAAAAGCGTTCACAAGGGGCAATAGGTCACTGTGTCAGCTCCAGGATTCTCTTTCAATTCCGACTCTGCGTGAAGAGATGGTGCAGGCCGTGGGAATCTAGTACCTGCCCTGGCTCTGCCGTCTTTTGAGACGTCTCAAAAGGAATCTAGTACATGCCCTGGCTCTGCCGTTTGTTTCTTGAATTGCGGGAAAGTGAATGCGTGGCGCCTTTTCCCCTTGATCTGCCCCACGCTGTCTGCCCGCTGCTCTGCTCTGCTCCTCCCCGCAGGTTCAAAGAGGCCAAGGATGCAGAGAAGCGACCCGAGGAGAGGGAGGACTTCAGTGATATGGTGGCGGAGGTGAGTGGGGAGGGAAAGGGGGGGTGGGGGAAAGGTGGGAAAGGGAGGGAATGGAAGGGGCAAAGGGAGGGAATGGAAGGGGGCAAGGGGGATTCAAAGAGGCCTAGGATGCAGAGAAGCGACCCGAGGAGAGGGAGGACTTCAGTGATATGGTGGCGGAGGTGAGTGCGTGTGTGGGGAGGCGGGGGGGAGGGGGGGGGGGGGGAGGGGGAGGGGAGGGAGGGGAGGGAGAGGGGAGGGAAAAATGGGAGAGGGGGAAAAAAGGGAGAGGGGGAAAAAAGGGAGAGGGGGAAAAAAGGGAGGGGGGGGGGAAAGGGGGGAAGGCGAGTGGAGATAAGGTGCTACATAGACGGTGTTCGTGTGTATTTTGTATTTTAGATCACTTGTTGTGACAGATGTGTACTCTTTTCTTGTTTCTTTCTATTGTTGCGATGTATGCTTGAACTGTGTACGGTGTTGTCGGTGTTGTACAGATGGAGAAGAAGCGCAAGCGCAAGGCACAGGACAAGGACAAGGCAGTGAAGAAACAGAAGGACTTTAAGTTCTAAACGAGAGCACCCAACTCCACTCCAACCATCCCCACCCATCTTCATCCACCTTCACCAGTCACTATCACCTTCAACCAGTCACTATCACCTTCAACCCATCTTCAACCATCTTCACCACCAAGGCACGGGACAAGGACAAGGCAGTGAAGAAGCAAAAGGACTTCAAATTTTGAGCGAGGAACACTGTTTCACTCAACCCATCTTCATCAACCTTCGCCCAGACTGGATTACCTTCGAGTATATTAACTACTGATAATGCTCGTTTTTCCTGGGAATTCACAATGTAATGAGCTTCGTCCGCTCTGCATGCGCAGATGCACCTGAGACGTTTGTGTTTTGTTGTTAGTCCCACTATGGCTAAAGAACTGCCTTTTAATGCTGGATTGGGCGTCCTTTAATTTGTGTAGGGACAGGCTCTGTTGATATTTGCAAGTTGGGGCGCACTGTATGGTCTCATTCACTCGCAACAAGCACCACTCAATAATCAGGGCTGGCTTCACAAGAAAAGAAACTCCTGACCTGCACGACCTTATTAAACGACACCTGCTTCCGCAGCTTCTCTCCTCCACGCCCATTCACCGGGGACAGGCAAGACTTGATAGGGCTCCTCCCACCCCTCCCCCACACAGCCATCTCAGCATACCCCATGTGTTCCCGACCTCCTAAGTAACCCCCATCGACCGAGTTTCTCCGCATGAATCGCCGTCCGTTCCCTGGCTGAACCACCCTCCCTCTCTCCCTCTCTTGCTGCCCATTCTCCTCGACAGCTGTCGACCCTTGCACGCAATCTGCACTCTGCGACCGTGCAAACGCCTGTGGGGTCTGGTTTATACCGGTTCCCACCACAGTCTCTTCAGGAGAAGCAATGTGAGGGTGGAAAGGTGAGAAAGGGGGGGAGGGAGCTTGGAGCAACACTCTTGCGTTTGGGATGTTTCTACGGGTGGTGACAGCGGTGGCGCCTTGGGTGGAAGTATTGGGAAGGTTGGGAGGGGTGGGGTGGTGTGGGGGAGGGTACAGGTCGGTTGGGCTACTGTTGGGAGTCAATTCGGAGACACTTTGCTGGTGCCTCTGATCCTGTCCCAGGACCATACCTGTAGCCATTCCAGTGCCCGCTCCTGTGCCCATACCCATACCTGCCCCCATACCTCCCCCCATGCTTGTCCCCATTCCCATACCACTGATACTCGAGGGAAGCTCGTGGTGAGGCAGGGGTGAAGGGGAGATATGGGTGAGGTCAAGGGAGGGGGGGCAGTGGGTACAATCTGGATCAGAAGAGACTGAGTGAGGGAGATTTGGGGAAGGAAGGAGGTCTTGGAAAGGCGACTGGGACTGGTGGATGGGGGAGCGGAAAGAGGAGGCGCGTGTGAAGCGGCGGGACGAAGAGGGGGAGAGACTGGGGGAACAGGTGGGGCAGCGCGGAGGCTTGGAGGGGGATATGGGGGGGCGCGTGGGGGAGTGGGCGGAGGGGGAGGGGGAGGGGCAGGTGGGGGAGTGAGTGGGAGAGGAGACGAGAAGGGGGAAAGGGGAAGTAGGCTGAAGGTGGGGGGCGGTAGTGGGAGAGGGGTGGGAGAATATGGAGGGGATTGGCTTGTGTTGGCTTGAAGGGGAGGATGACGGAGAAGACGTTGGGGCGTGAGGGGCGGACGGCCTGGGGAGGGCGTTGGGGGCGGATTGTTGGAGGGAAGCGGGGGGTGGTGGGTGGAGGGAGGCGGAAGGGGAAGGAATGCGGGCGTGCATGGGGAAGGAGGAGACGGGAGGGTGGGCGGGCGCATGGGGGGAGAATGGGGAGTGGGATTGGGGGGAGGGTTTGTGGGAGGCGGAGGGGGAGGGTGGTGGTGAGAGCATAGGAGCGCTCCCCTTTGGATCCGCATTTGCCGCTGCAGCTTCAACTTGCCGCCCCCAATTGCCATCAGCATCCTCAATATAAGCACTCTCGTTACAAGCACTCTCGTCAAAAGGACTCGCATGATCAGAGTGAGTCCCAGGCGCGGATCTATCAAACGACACTTGCAGCTGCTTCAGCCGCTCCTGCACCTCTAACGAGAACCTCCTTATCGCGGATGCACCCACAGGACCACTCCCTGCGCCGCCGCCTCCATTCTTAGAGCCGGATCCCTCCTTAAAACTGCTCTTCACGCTGCGGCTGTTATTGCTGCCGCTGCGAGCACCGATTTGTTGTAAGCTGCGTTCCCGCTCGTGAGGAGAAACCCTTATAGCAACAGCTCTTCCAGTGGGAGAAGCGACGCGGTGTAAGGTCCGGTTTCCCGCGCCTCCGCTCGCCCTGGTCGGATGCGCCCCGCGGCCCAATCCGCGGAGCATTTCCGCCGCCGCCGCCACCAGCTGCGCCTCTGCGAACGGCGCAAGATCCGCGGAACCTCCTCGTTTTGCGCCTTTCCGCTGCACGGGCCGCGCCATCACCGCTCCGTCGCCGTCGACGTCGTTGTTGTCAGTGTTAGGGTTACCGTTTCGGTTGTCGTCATCGTTAGAAGCGTTAGCGCAACCGTCAACGTTAGCGGAATCGTCAATGTTTGCGCTCCCCTCAAGATTACCGGCTCTATGCGCAGCGTTACGGGGAGAAGCGCAGGATCTCGTTGCTGCGGAGGGAGAAGCGCCGGATAGCGGGGAAGCTGCGGACCGAGTGTGGTTCTCATTGGCGGAAGTTCTTTGCGCCGTGAGACTCCGCCGAGGCGGAGGGATGTGACCGGAACTGTTCCGGACATGCGCAGTGTGACACCCGCTCATGTTGGGGGAACGCGCATTGGCGGACGCGGAACGCGCCATACGCGGCCCGGCGGGCGCGGGCGAATGCGGCGAGGCGGAAGCGGCGGGGAACGCCGGGGAAGAGGAGGAGGCGGAAGGAGGAAAGGGCGCGGGAGAATGGGGAAAGGCGGAAGGCGAAGCTGCTTCAAAGGGCGGCGGTTTGTCCATCGAGGCTGGTATAGGCCGCGGCGAGGAGGTAGTAACGGATGCTTCGACGGACACGCGGAAGCCCGCAAACTTGGACACGTCATCATCCACGTGTCCACCAGCGGCCGCTGACACCTCAACAGTTGAGAAAGGTCCCTTCTCCGCATTCGACGGCGGTTCTGGTACACGAATAGCGCGTGAGCCGGGGGTTTTCCCTAATCCTCCTGCTTTCCCTGGGGTCTGCCCTCCGCCGCGTCCTGCTTCTTCCGGCCGCGTGCTTTCGAAGAGCGGATCAGCTCTTCCCTCTGCTGGTTCGGATCTGGCGCTTTTATCATCTCCGCGGATCTCGGCGGCGGGAGCTTTCTCCCACGACATCGTCCGCCTGTCGCCCCGCGCGCGGCGGAAGCGGAAAAGGTCGGCGGAAGAGCGGGCAGAGGGGGCATTCGCGGAAGCGCCTGGTTCGCGGGCTGCACTTCCACTTCCGCGCAAGAGGCGGAGTAACCCGCCCGCACATTGCGCCTTCCCCTTCGTCAGCGTGCGCGGTGTTTCCGCGCATTCGTCGGCGGTGATTGCGCCTTCCGTATCCGCGCATCCGTCAGCGACGCGCGCGCGCGCGGGGGATCCCCCACTCGAGTCATAATCGCCCCACTCCTTGTCCATGTCTTTCGACGAGGTAGCTTTCCGCCGAACTACTTCCGCGTGCGGGCTGCGCACGGCGGAAGGCGACGGCGGAAGCCATGGAGAAGGGTTTTCCGCTGATGTGGGGCCAACGCCGCACTCGCTGTTGGGGAGCGACTCGGATGTATCTTCTTCCACGTACCGTGACATAATTCTCGAAAATGTTAAGGGAGAATGAGATAACGGCCAGTTCGGGCTAGTAGTGAAGGACGGTGACGAATACTGAGGTATAATTCGGCTCTCGCGATAACTCGTTTCCCATTTGTTCGGTTCGCCCGTGTGCACCACTCGGCTGGACCAGCGATGGCACTAATAAGGCCGGGTAAAAGCCGGGTAAATTTGTGTTCGCACATTGGTCGTGGGAGAAGAGAGAAGAACGTGCAATTTCACAATGCGCTTCGATGCACCTACTTGGGCATCATGTGAATGGTTACTCGGTATGATGAGAGTTACAACACGAACGTTTGCGAATTACAATCTGTTTTTCGTCAGTACAAGGCGCCACAACGAAAATCCCACGTCGCAGCTTTGTTGGGCTCGCTTGTTGCTCGACCGCGATGCACAAAACATGGCACTTTGGGAAGCATGTCGCCTTGCGTGGCGAGGGGAGGGAGAAGTGGGTAGTGCTGACGAAAGTCAACCATGCGAATAGTTCGCTGCCCCATTTCATATCCTACTTCAATCAATCCGTTGTATTTCCCAGGGTAATTTTCGGATGCCCACCCCGTGTCCATCTCTCGTCAAGGACACGCTCGCTGCAAGACTTTGCCGAACTTACCTCGTTTTCGTGGTCCAGATTTGTGGAAGTGGGAGATGCCGCCGGAGTTGTGAAACTATTCTGCCCTGCACTATTCCACAGAGGTTGCCCAAAGGTTCGAACATTCCAACAATTCTTCAACGAGGGATGCTTTGTGGTTTACCTCGGTCGTGGGAAAGGTCAACAACTGTGGTGCGTGGACTGGTCGCTGATTGGCACAAGCAATGTCAATTGGTCAACGCACTCAAAATTCTACACAAGGCGACAAACAAATAGTGACTGCCCATTAACTCTCGATACAGATCTCTCCGCATCAACATAAAACAATATTGGACGCGAACCGGAATACACAAGCGCATACATATAACTTCGATAGTTGCAACCAAACCTGCATAGTGTTGTAATCATACAGTTCATGCTTGAGCGTCCTCTAAAATAGAGAACAGATCAGTAAGGTGTGGTGGATAAATCTGTGCTTGCGTTGTGATTACATTGCAGAATTGTTCACACAAAAGAAACAAAAGATATAACCAGCATAGTACAACAGGCCTTGGTCTGAACATATAAACCACATCAGCATTAGTTTTCTAGTACTGTCAGAGGAGAAGTAGCAGAATGGTACAAATGGGCTGGTAACAGCTAACTAGTAAAAAAAAGAAAAACGAAAGAAAAAGGGGGTAAAAAATCCACGCACACACGCTCACACAAAACGCTCACACCATCTCCTCCTCCTCCCTCCCCCCCCCCCTCCCCCAACCCCTCCCCCTCCCCCCCCCCCCTCTTCCTCATCTCTTTCCCAGCCCCTCCCACTCCACACACAAACATGTGGACGCGAGCGCATATGCTAAAAACAAAGAAAAGTACCATCATGTTTTGTCATGTCATGTTAAAGTCAAGTCATGTCATGCCACCCTTGTCACGTTGTCATGTCATGGCATGTCATGGTGCCCACATTGTCATGTCATGTCATGTCATGTCATGCTACATCACTCATGTCTTCTTGTCAGCTCTATCATGTTAACGCTTGTCAAAACCTCTTTCTCCCTCCACCAACCAACACTATCACCACACAACAAGAGAACCTTTCTGTTCGCACCACCCAGCGGAAATCCAACCGCTGCTTCAGGTCTGCTCACATGTCATGCTGCTCCCCCATCTCGCCTGCCGTGTCATGTCATGTCATGTCATGTCATGTCATGTGCTTCTCATGAAACGTGATGCTAGCATTCCAGGAGGGGAACCTCCGCACACGCACCATGCGGTTAAACCACACCTGCTTCTTCAACTTCGCACACGCACCACCTGCTTCTTCGGCTGTCATCACCCGATGCTAGCATCACATGATGGGAACCTCCTCACACGCACCACCCATATAACCACTCCTTCTCCTTCAGCTTAAGACACGCGCCACCCTCCAATCCCATGCTAGTCATGCCACGCCAATGAACAAAGTTGGCATCACACGAAGGGAACCTCCGCACACGCACCACGCGGTTTAACGACACCTGCTTTTTCAGCTTCCCACACAGACCACCCTGCTTCTTCAGCACTGCTCCCATCCCGTGCTAGTAGTCATACCACCTCATTGGCCAATGCTGGCGTCACACGAAGGGAACCTCCGCACGCGTACCACACGGTTGAACGACACCTGCTTCTTCAGCTTCGTTCCTCCTGATCCATTCGCCGGCGACAGGCACGACTTGATAGGGCTCCTCCCACCCCTCTCCTGCCCTCCTCCCATCTCCTGCCCTCCCATCCGCATTCCCATCTCAGCAGCACTACCCGAGCTAGCCCGGCCGCCCAACGTCCCCGCATCGACCGAGTTTCTCCGCGTGACCCGCCGTCCGCTTCCCGCCCGCACCCCTTCCCCTGTCACATGCACCGCCACTCTCCCCTCAAATTCGGCACTTTGGGACCGAACAAACACCCCTTCAGCCTGGTCCATACCCGTACCCATTCCCGCAACACTCTGCCCCGGTGGAGCGATGAGTGGGTGGGAAGGAGAGGAAGGCAGGTAGGGAGCGTAGACAGGAGCGTTCGCCTGGGGGTTGTATTCTGGAGTGGTAGTGGCGGCGAATGGGATGGTAGAGTTGGGCAGGTACGGAGGGATGAGGTGGTGTGAGGGAGGGTATAGATCGGTGCTGTCACTTTCAGGAGTTGAATCAGAGGCGGATCTCTGGTGGTGTTGCTCCTGCCCTGGGAATATACCCTTACCCATGCCAGTACCCGTACCCATGGCCGCACCCGTTCCTGTCCCCATACCTGTCCCCATACCTGTCCCCGGACCTGTCCCCATACCCATGCTGTTGGTATGTGAGGGGAACCCCTGGTGAGGCTTGGAGGAGGAGGGGGAGAGTTGGCTGAGATCGAGAGATTGGCGCCGGCCGTGAGAGGCCTTGGGGGAAGGAAAGGGGTTTTGGAAAGAGGACTGCGACCGGGGGATGGGGGAGGCGCGCGGGGAGCGGCGGGACGAGGAGGGGGAGAGCGCGGGGGAACGGGTGGGGGAGCGCGGAGGCTTGGATGGGGACATGTGGGGGCGTGTGGGGGAGCGGGCGGAGGGGAAGGGGGCGGAGGGGACGGAGCAGGGGAACGTGGGGGATTGAGCGGGGGAGGAGGCGAGCAGGGGGAAGGGGGCAGTGGGCTGATCTGGGGGAGGGGTAAGGGGAGGGGGGCGGGAGAATATGGCGGGGACAGGCTTGCGCTGGCGCGAGGGGGAAGCGGAAGGGGAAGACACTGGGGCGCGGGGAGAGGCGGATGGGGGAGCGTGGGGGGAGGACGACCGGGGAAGAGCGTTGGGGGAGGCTGGTGGGGCAAAGGTGCGGGGGGAAGCGGGGGGTGCGTGAAGGGAGGCGGAGGGGGAAGGCGCACGTGCGTGGGGGGAAGCGGAGGGTGAAGGCATGCCGGCGTGGGGAGAAGCGGAGGGGGAAGGCATGCCAGCGTGGGGGGAAGCGGAAGGAGAAGGAAACCGGGCGCGACGCCGGCGGAAAGGGGAAGAAGCGGGTGCGCCGAGGGGGGAGGGGGAACGGGGAGCGTGCGGCGCATGGGGGGACAACGAGGAGTTGGATTGGGGGGAGCGCTCTTGAGAGGCGGAGGAGGCGGGGGACGGTGAGGGCAGAGGCGCGTTCCCCGCTGAACCCGCTTTCTGCCCTTCCGCTCCGTCATAAGCACCCTCGATATAAGCACTTTCCGCGGCCTCGTCATAAGGGCTCGCGTTATCGGAGTCGGCTTCGGGGGTGGGATCATCAAACGATACTTGCAGCTGCTTCAGCTTCTCGTGCACCTCTATCGAGAGCCTCCTTATCGCGGATGCACCCTCCGGACCACTTCCCCCGCCGCCACCGCCGCCGCCGCCGTTTATAGCATTAGGTCTCTCCTTGTAGCTGCTGTTGCTGCTGCTGTTGCTGCTGCTGCCACTGCGAATACCGCCTCGCTGTAAACTTCTTCGTTGTAAGCTGTCTCGACTCTCGCGAGGAGAAACCTTTCCAGCGGGGGGGATTCCACGTGGGGACGCGGCGCGGTGTAAGTTGCCCGCGCCTCCGATTCCCCCGGTCTGCTGCGCCCCGCCGCCCAATCCGCGGAGCATGTCCGCTGCCGCGGCCACCAGCTGCGCCTCCGCGGATGGCGCAAGGTCCCCGGAACCTCCGCGATTAGCGCCTCTCCGCAGCACGGGCCGCGCCATCACCACTCCGTCATCGTCATCATCCTCGTCGTCACCGTCAATATTCACGTTAACGTTACGGTTAGTGTCAGTGTTAGAAGCGGTGCATTTCCGCCGAGGCGGAAGGATGTGACCGGAGTATCCGCTCATGGGCGGGGGGTAACGGCGGGTCTGCGCGTTGACGGACGCGGATCGCGCGATTCGAGGCACGGGGGCGGGCGAATGCGCCGAGGCGGAAGAAGGGGAAGGAGCGGCGGGGAGGGCGGAAGAAGAGGGGGAGGCGGAAGAAGCGGGGAAGGCGGAAGGAGAGGGGAAGGCGGGGGAACGCGGCGAAACGCCTTCCATGGCCAATTCTTCCTTCAGGGAAAGTGCTTTACTCGTCGACGAGGAAGTAGTACCAGCTGCCACGTGGAAGCCCGCAAAGTTTGACACGTCATCCAAGTGTCCAGCCGCGGCGGCCGGGAGCCCGTCAGTCGAAGGCGATTCCTTTTCCGCATCAAACGGCAAGGCTGGCGCCGCAGTCTCAGACTTCCGAGGCGTCGTAGAAGCTACTTTAGATCCACGCGGCGCGGCGGTCTCATTGGAGCCACGGGCTGCGGCGAGGGGCGAGGCGCGTTCCCCCGCTCCTCCTGCTCCACTTGCTCCCCCTGCTCCACCTGCTCCCGCTGCTCCCCCTTTGCCTCCGCCCACGCCCGCTCCGCGTCCTCCTCCTTCCCGCCCTCCTTCCGCTGCGCTTACTGCTCCTGCGGAGCTGGTGCCGTCGCCGCCGAGCTTGGGAGGGGTTTTTTCCCGCGATGATTCCGACCGCCCTTCTTCCGCTGCGCCCCGTGCTGCTGCGGAAGTGGTCTCGGTGGCGTCCCCGCCGAGCTTGGGAGGGGTTTTTTCCCGCGATGACGCCGCCCGCCCTTCGCCCCGCGAGCGGCGGAAGCGGAAGAGGTCCGCGGAAGTGCGCGCAGGGGCGGCGCTCGTGGCGTTACCTGGTTCACGGGTGGCATTTCCTGTTCGTCCGCGCAGGAGGCGGAGAAACCCGCTGCTGCGGCTGCCGCGGGACCCGTCAGTTTCCCCCGTACTGCTTGCGCCTTCCCCCGCGTGCGCGCATGCGCCGTCATTGAGCGCGGGATCATCGCCCCACTCGTTATCCATGTCGTTCGACGATGTAGCCTTCCGCCGAACGACTTCCGCGTGCGGGCTGCGCACCGCGGAAGCGGATGGCGGAAGCCATGCGGAAGCGTTTTCCGCTGATGTGGGACCAGCGCCGCACTCGCGGCTGGGGAGCGATGTAGCTTCTACCGCGTACATTATCCTTGACACTGCGAAGGGAGGATGAGAAAACGGCTACTAACTCAGCAATAGACAAGGACGGCTGGTGAAACGTTGACCTTGAGAAATTATTGGTTTGACGAAACGGTTTGGTGTCTTGCTCGCAGGGGAACGTAATCGCTTGTGATTACCCGAACGGATCGAATCAAAGGAGAAGAGCAAGCAAGAGGAGAGACGGTCGGTGGAAGGCAGGTAGGTTGGGTGTCAGTGGGTGGCGCGGGTGAATACACGTTGGTCGAGAGATTTTGAGGAAGAAAAGATGAGGCGAGTGGAGGTGAGCGAAGTGACCTCTCTTGTTTGCTTGCTTGCTTGCGCAACCCAGAAGCCGCAGCGCTGATGCAATTTCACGATGCGCTGCGATACAGCCTCACGGACGACATTCTTGATTGGTTAGCCAGTGCGATGAAGCTGCTTCACGTTGCGAGAGCTTGTGATTGGTAAACTAAGTTTCGCGAGCCCATGCGACCAACAGAAACCCCACGTCGCAGGTGCGTGATTGAGGTGATATTTTCACCTGTGGCTCACTTCACTCCTGCTGCAGCATTTGGCTGTTTTGTCCTGATATGGGACACGCACGCGTGAGTGAAAATGTCAACGCTTCGACAACTCCGCGGACTTTATTTCCCAGGCATACTTCCAACTCGCCTTTGTGTTTCGCAGGCATTTCATGATTGACCCATCCCTAACTTTTGCTCCCGGACTTTTGCCCCGCACATTGAGAACCACGACCTTTCCACTCCGAATCGGTTGAGGGTCCTGGTACTGTACCAACAGCAATTGACGGTGCAGATCATTCCAGAAAACAGCATCGAGTTGTACTGTTGTCCCAGCACCGTCCAATGGGTCTGTACAAACCAAAGGCTCCACCTTTTCAACTCTCTGTACAGTGTTTTCTTCAAGTGGTTCGGCCCTCTTTTCTCTCTCCACCATGTGGAAGGTCAACTCAGAATCTTGTTGTCTGGTGTGGTGTGGGTGGACTCGTCGCCCTGGACTTGGAAAAGAAAATCGGCGAACTTCCAAAGACCTACAATGCCCGCAAAAATGTCGCACAAGCAGACAAATATCAGTGTCTGTGGCCATCTACTGTAGATAATTCTCGAAACAAGACTCTTGGAATAAAGGCAAAACCAATCTGCCTCAATACTACACGCAAAACGTGCATAAGCCCACATTAAAAACCCACATAGCAAAAGCTACAATACTATGAACGAACTTATACAACGTTCATATTTGACAGTGAGCTACCTCACAAAACATTTCGAAATAATTGGCTGGGTATGGGGTAACAAAAGGAAGGTTTTTCGCATTAAAGGGTGGTGGTGCCCGTGGCTTAAACTGGGACCATTCAAATCGGAGGCCCCCATTGCCTAAAAGGTTTTATCACACCAGCCCTTGGGAACTCCGCAACCTTTTTTTGAAATCAACAAGGCAGGTATCAAGTTGAGTAATAAACTCGTCCACCTCTTCCTTTGAGCCTCCTATTGCAGCAGCTGCTGTGAGGTAGGGCACATGATAGCTGCTCATACACAGAAAAAGGCAACCAGTGAGAAAGGTACACGCGTGCAATCAGTTGAGTAAGAACTCTACTAATGTAGGATAGCTCCAGAAACACGTAAAGAAGCTGCTAGTAACACGGGACGTTCACACCCAGCACAAGAACGGATATGGCAAAACACTAGAATAATGGATGTATGGATGATACAATGCAAAGTTCAGTAGGTGTACCTATCACAAGATGATCCGAATCCTTGCAGTGCCACGCCTCCTATGGTTTGCGTCACACCTTGCGGCACGACTTGACAACCGGACACAAAGCTGACATGTGGAGATGGGAGGAGACGGAGAGAGACAACGCTTTCAAGTCGACTCATAAGGTTGAACGGCGCTGTTATCGTGAAATATTCCGACAAAAAAGAAATCCGAGTCCTTGCAGTGCAGCAAGAGCAATCCGGCATGATGGTTGCTCGTGCACTGGCTCACATGAAGCTGATATGGGCGATGCAAGGAGAGGAAGGGAGGATCGGTGCGGAGAGTTTTGGTGCATTAATAAAGTCGGTCCAACCAACGTGGCCATGTGCAGGTTATTTCGTTCTGATATGATTCGACAAGAAACGGGAGGGGGAAGACAACCTGACAAGACAACCTGACAAGACAACCTGACAAGACAACCTGACAGAGGAGGAACGCACCGTGAGAAGAGCATCGAGCTGAGCTGAGGAACGTGATGGGGGGGGCTTGTGGTTGTGTTTTGAAGGGTGCTTATGGTGGGGATTGGTAAATGAGCCGAGGAACGTGATGGGGGGGGCTTGTGGTTGTGCTCTAGGGGGCTACTGAGGCGTCTCAAATAGGGGAGAAGGGGCAGAAGAACGCACCGTGAGAAGAGCATTGAGCTGGGGGAACGTGATGGGGGGAGCTTGTGGTGGAACGTGATGGGGGGAGCTTGTGAGGAACGTGATGGGGGGAGCTTGTGGTGGTGGTTGGGGGCGCTTGCTTGTGTTGTGAACTGGTTCTCTCATGAACAACTAGACGGAAAAAGGGAGTGACGGGATAGGACGCACTGTGAGAAGAGCATTGAGCCGAGGAACGTGATGGGGGGGGCTTGTGGTGGTGGTTGGGGTGGTGCTTGTGGCTCTGCTGCTGCCAAGGACAAAGCTGGTCCACAGGAACCTTTTTCTCTCGCACTCTCCTCACTCCCCTTCTCACTCCCCTTCTCACTCCCCTTCTCACTCCCCCTCTCACCCTCCCTTGCACACTCCCTCTCACTCTCCCTCTGCTCCACGGATTCTACTGCTGGAGGTGGTGCTGCTGCGGATAGTGCTGCTGCTGGTGGTGGCGCCACAGAAGCTGCCGATTCTTCTCGTGTCCCCACTGCTGCTGCCAACAAGGGTTTTGAGTCAGCCACATCAGCAGCAACAGCTGAGGATGAGACTGCTGGCGGTGCTGAGTCAGCAGCAGCGCATGCCACGTCAGCATGCGCGTGAGCCGGGACGAGGGAGGAGAGGGAGATGGCCAGGGAAATGGGGTTGTCTGGTGACTGCAGAAGCCACTCTCCTGTATATGTCAAGGACAGCACAGGGGGAGAGGGAGGTGATTTGTGAGGAAGGTGACCGTGACATTTGACGAGGGAGGAGAGGGAGATGGTTAGGGGAATGGGGTTGTCTGGTGATTGTAGCAGCCTCTCTCCTGTAGAGATGGCACAAGGGTCAAGGGGAGGTGATATACGGGGAAGGTGATATACGTATGAGGAAGGTGATATGCGGGAGTTGGTGTTCTGTGTCGACCATCTCTTAACACAGCGTTCTGGTCGACCATCTCTATGGCGTTCTGTGTCGAATATAGCAGACCAGCTAACCTCCAAAGCCACTCTTTCCCACTCACCACGCCTCTCTGCCACTCACCACGCCTCTCTGCCACTCACCACGCCTCTCTGCCACTCACCACGCCTCTCTGCCACTCACCACGCCTCTCTGCCACTCACCACGCCTCTCTGCCACTCACCACGCCTCTCTGCCACTCACCACGCCTCTCTGCCACTCACCACGCCTCTCTGCCACTCACCACGCCTCTCTGCCACTCACCACGCCTCTCTGCCACTCACCACGCCTCTCTGCCACTCACCACGCCTCTCTGCCACTCACCATGCCTCTCTGCCACTCACCACGCCTCTCTGCCACTCACCACGCCTCTCTGCCACTCACCACGCCTCTCTGCCACTCACCACGCCTCTCTGCCACTCACCACGCCTCTCTGCCACTCACCACGCCTCTCTGCCACTCACCACGCCTCTCTGCCACTCACCACGCCTCTCTGCCACTCACCACGCCTCTCTGCCACTCACCACGCCTCTCTGCCACTCACCACGCCTCTCTGCCACTCACCACGCCTCTCTGCCACTCACCACGCCTCTCTGCCACTCACCACGCCTCTCTGCCACTCACCACGCCTCTCTGCCACTCACCACGCCTCTCTGCCACTCACCACGCCTCTCTGCCACTCACCACGCCTCTCTGCCACTCACCACGCCTCTCTGCCACTCACCACGCCTCTCTGCCACTCACCACGCCTCTCTGCCACTCACCACGCCTCTCTGCCACTCACCACGCCTCTCTGCCACTCACCACGCCTCTCTGCCACTCACCATGCCTCTCTGCCACTCACCACGCCTCTCTGCCACTCACCACGCCTCTCTGCCACTCACCACGCCTCTCTGCCACTCACCACGCCTCTCTGCCACTCACCACGCCTCTCTGCCACTCACCACGCCTCTCTGCCACTCACCATGCCTCTCTGCCACTCACCACGCCTCTCTGCCACTCACCACGCCTCTCTGCCACTCACCACGCCTCTCTGCCACTCACCACGCCTCTCTGCCACTCACCACGCCTCTCTGCCACTCACCACGCCTCTCTGCCACTCACCACGCCTCTCTGCCACTCACCACGCCTCTCTGCCACTCACCACGCCTCTCTGCCACTCACCACGCCTCTCTGCCACTCACCACGCCTCTCTGCCACTCACCACGCCTCTCTGCCACTCACCACGCCTCTCTGCCACTCACCACGCCTCTCTGCCACTCACCACGCCTCTCTGCCACTCACCACGCCTCTCTGCCACTCACCACGCCTCTCTGCCACTCACCACGCCTCTCTGCCACTCACCACGCCTCTCTGCCACTCACCACGCCTCTCTGCCACTCACCACGCCTCTCTGCCACTCACCACGCCTCTCTGCCACTCACCACGCCTCTCTGCCACTCACCACGCCTCTCTGCCACTCACCACGCCTCTCTGCCACTCACCACGCCTCTCTGCCACTCACCACGCCTCTCTGCCACTCACCACGCCTCTCTGCCACTCACCACGCCTCTCTGCCACTCACCACGCCTCTCTGCCACTCACCACGCCTCTCTGCCACTCACCACGCCTCTCTGCCACTCACCACGCCTCTCTGCCACTCACCACGCCTCTCTGCCACTCACCACGCCTCTCTGCCACTCACCACGCCTCTCTGCCACTCACCACGCCTCTCTGCCACTCACCACGCCTCTCTGCCACTCACCACGCCTCTCTGCCACTCACCACGCCTCTCTGCCACTCACCACGCCTCTCTGCCACTCACCACGCCTCTCTGCCACTCACCACGCCTCTCTGCCACTCACCACGCCTCTCTGCCACTCACCACGCCTCTCTGCCACTCACCACGCCTCTCTGCCACTCACCACGCCTCTCTGCCACTCACCACGCCTCTCTGCCACTCACCACGCCTCTCTGCCACTCACCACGCCTCTCTGCCACTCACCACGCCTCTCTGCCACTCACCACGCCTCTCTGCCACTCACCACGCCTCTCTGCCACTCACCACGCCTCTCTGCCACTCACCACGCCTCTCTGCCACTCACCACGCCTCTCTGCCACTCACCACGCCTCTCTGCCACTCACCACGCCTCTCTGCCACTCACCACGCCTCTCTGCCACTCACCACGCCTCTCTGCCACTCACCACGCCTCTCTGCCACTCACCACGCCTCTCTGCCACTCACCACGCCTCTCTGCCACTCACCACGCCTCTCTGCCACTCACCACGCCTCTCTGCCACTCACCACGCCTCTCTGCCACTCACCACGCCTCTCTGCCACTCACCACGCCTCTCTGCCACTCACCACGCCTCTCTGCCACTCACCACGCCTCTCTGCCACTCACCACGCCTCTCTGCCACTCACCACGCCTCTCTGCCACTCACCACGCCTCTCTGCCACTCACCACGCCTCTCTGCCACTCACCACGCCTCTCTGCCACTCACCACGCCTCTCTGCCACTCACCACGCCTCTCTGCCACTCACCACGCCTCTCTGCCACTCACCACGCCTCTCTGCCACTCACCACGCCTCTCTGCCACTCACCACGCCTCTCTGCCACTCACCACGCCTCTCTGCCACTCACCACGCCTCTCTGCCACTCACCACGCCTCTCTGCCACTCACCACGCCTCTCTGCCACTCACCACGCCTCTCTGCCACTCACCACGCCTCTCTGCCACTCACCACGCCTCTCTGCCACTCACCACGCCTCTCTGCCACTCACCACGCCTCTCTGCCACTCACCACGCCTCTCTGCCACTCACCACGCCTCTCTGCCACTCACCACGCCTCTCTGCCACTCACCACGCCTCTCTGCCACTCACCACGCCTCTCTGCCACTCACCACGCCTCTCTGCCACTCACCACGCCTCTCTGCCACTCACCACGCCTCTCTGCCACTCACCACGCCTCTCTGCCACTCACCACGCCTCTCTGCCACTCACCACGCCTCTCTGCCACTCACCACGCCTCTCTGCCACTCACCACGCCTCTCTGCCACTCACCACGCCTCTCTGCCACTCACCACGCCTCTCTGCCACTCACCACGCCTCTCTGCCACTCACCACGCCTCTCTGCCACTCACCACGCCTCTCTGCCACTCACCACGCCTCTCTGCCACTCACCACGCCTCTCTGCCACTCACCACGCCTCTCTGCCACTCACCACGCCTCTCTGCCACTCACCACGCCTCTCTGCCACTCACCACGCCTCTCTGCCACTCACCACGCCTCTCTGCCACTCACCACGCCTCTCTGCCACTCACCACGCCTCTCTGCCACTCACCACGCCTCTCTGCCACTCACCACGCCTCTCTGCCACTCACCACGCCTCTCTGCCACTCACCACGCCTCTCTGCCACTCACCACGCCTCTCTGCCACTCACCACGCCTCTCTGCCACTCACCACGCCTCTCTGCCACTCACCACGCCTCTCTGCCACTCACCACGCCTCTCTGCCACTCACCACGCCTCTCTGCCACTCACCACGCCTCTCTGCCACTCACCACGCCTCTCTGCCACTCACCACGCCTCTCTGCCACTCACCACGCCTCTCTGCCACTCACCACGCCTCTCTGCCACTCACCACGCCTCTCTGCCACTCACCACGCCTCTCTGCCACTCACCACGCCTCTCTGCCACTCACCACGCCTCTCTGCCACTCACCACGCCTCTCTGCCACTCACCACGCCTCTCTGCCACTCACCACGCCTCTCTGCCACTCACCACGCCTCTCTGCCACTCACCACGCCTCTCTGCCACTCACCACGCCTCTCTGCCACTCACCACGCCTCTCTGCCACTCACCACGCCTCTCTGCCACTCACCACGCCTCTCTGCCACTCACCACGCCTCTCTGCCACTCACCACGCCTCTCTGCCACTCACCACGCCTCTCTGCCACTCACCACGCCTCTCTGCCACTCACCACGCCTCTCTGCCACTCACCACGCCTCTCTGCCACTCACCACGCCTCTCTGCCACTCACCACGCCTCTCTGCCACTCACCACGCCTCTCTGCCACTCACCACGCCTCTCTGCCACTCACCACGCCTCTCTGCCACTCACCACGCCTCTCTGCCACTCACCACGCCTCTCTGCCACTCACCACGCCTCTCTGCCACTCACCACGCCTCTCTGCCACTCACCACGCCTCTCTGCCACTCACCACGCCTCTCTGCCACTCACCACGCCTCTCTGCCACTCACCACGCCTCTCTGCCACTCACCACGCCTCTCTGCCACTCACCACGCCTCTCTGCCACTCACCACGCCTCTCTGCCACTCACCACGCCTCTCTGCCACTCACCACGCCTCTCTGCCACTCACCACGCCTCTCTGCCACTCACCACGCCTCTCTGCCACTCACCACGCCTCTCTGCCACTCACCACGCCTCTCTGCCACTCACCACGCCTCTCTGCCACTCACCACGCCTCTCTGCCACTCACCATGCCTCTCTGCCACTCACCATGCCTCTCTGCCACTCACCATGCCTCTCTGCCACTCACCATGCCTCTCTGCCACTCACCATGCCTCTCTGCCACTCACCATGCCTCTCTGCCACTCACCATGCCTCTCTGCCACTCACCATGCCTCTCTGCCACTCACCATGCCTCTCTGCCACTCACCATGCCTCTCTGCCACTCACCATGCCTCTCTGCCACTCACCATGCCTCTCTGCCACTCACCATGCCTCTCTGCCACTCACCATGCCTCTCTGCCACTCACCATGCCTCTCTGCCACTCACCATGCCTCTCTGCCACTCACCATGCCTCTCTGCCACTCACCATGCCTCTCAGCCACTCACCATGCCTCTCTGCCACTCACCATGCCTCTCTGCCACTCACCATGCCTCTCTGCCACTCACCATGCCTCTCAGCCACCCCTCGCATCTTCTCTCTCAGGTAAGGCATGAGCTGCTCTCGCTCCTGCAGCAGCGCCTGCCAGCCGCTCGCCCCCAGGGAGAGGAGGGTGATGAGGACGTCCAGGATGGGTGATATGGACGCGCGGCCTGGGGTGGGGTGCGGTGGGGTGGGGTGTGGTGGGTTTTGGCATGGGCGATTGAGAGTGGACCACAGGGAGAGGCGGGTAATGAGGACGTCTAGGATGGGCGAGACGGACGCTCGGCCTGGGGTGGGGTGTGGTGGGTAGGGGTAGGATGTGGGATGGGTGTGGCATGGGAAAGAGATTGGCTCACACACAGCGATGAGCCCCCAGGGAGAGGAGGGTAATGAGGATGTCTAGGATGGGCGTATGAACGCTCGACCTGGGGTGCAGTGAGGTGGGGCGGGGTGCGAAGGAGTGAGCTGCTCCTTCAGCGGCAGCAGAGACTGCCACCTGGTAGACCCCAGGGACATGGACCTTTTTTGAGAATTCTCAAAAGCCATCAGGAGGGTTATGAGGACACCTACAATGGGTGATATGGACGCGCGGCCTGTGATGGGGTGTGGGATGGGATCGGATGGGAGTGGGGAAGCGTGTTTGCCCCACTAGCTGGAAACTAAAAGTGATCATCCCTGCCCTGCACCAGGCTATCACACCTGGATAGGAGGCGTTGACTGCGTTGACCAGCGTTGACTTGCCAGGACCAGCAGCAACAACACTCCCCCCAACCGGCACCAGAAAGTTCTTATCAGTGCTCTGCACCACCGCATCCACCCGCCCCCTCCTCCATGCCCCCTCCTCCCCCCTTGTCCCACGCACCTGGATACGAGGCGTTGACTGCATTGACCAACGTTGACCCCCCTCCAGGACCACCGGCAACAACACTCCCACCAACCGGCACCAGGAAGTTCTTATCAGTGCTCTGCACCACTGCATCCACCCGCCCCCTCCTCCACGCGCGCGTGACGGCACTGCTGATACCAGCGTCTGCTCCCCTCCCTTCCCACCGACCTGGATAAGAGGCGTTGACTGCGTTGACCAGAGTTGACTTTCCGGGACCAGCAGCAACAACAGCCCCCCCAACTGGAACCAGGAAGTTCTTATCGGTGCTCTGCACAACAGCATCCACTCGCCCTCTCCTCCATGCCCGTGTGATAGCAGCGCTGATGGCAGCACTTGCTCCCCTCCCCTTCCCATCAACCACCCACCTGGATATGAGGCGTTGACTGCGTTGACCAGCATGGACCGCCCAGGACCACCAGCAATGACACTCCCCCCAATGGGAACCAGGAAGTTCTTATCAGTGCTCTGCACCACCGCGTCCACCCGCCTCCTCCTCCACGGTCCGCCCTTCACAGGCTCATCACACACCCACCAGGGTAAGATGCGTTGACTGCATTGACCAGGGTTGACTTGCTGGGACCAGCAGGACCAGCAGCAACGACACTTCCCCCCACAGGAACCAGAAAGTGCTTGTCAGTGCTCTGCACAACAGCATCCACCCGCCCCCTCCTCCACGCGCGCGTCATGGCAGTGCTTGCTCCCCTCCCCTCCCCATCACCCACCAGGGTACGAGGCGTTGACTGCGTTGACCAGCGTTGACTTGCCAGGACCAGCAGCAACAACACTCCCCCCAACCGGAACCAGAAAGTTCTTATCAGTGCTCTGCACCACCGCATCCACCCGCCCCCTCCTCCACGCGCGCGTGACGGCAGCAGTGATTGCAGCGCTCTGCACGCCGTATGCGTTGTTGATGACATGGGGGACAGAGAAACGAGCACAGAGGCGAGCGATGGATTCAACACTGTCAGGGGCCCTGGGTGGGGTGGGAGTGACGGGGGTGCAGCAGGGAACAGCACTCCATGTGAGTGCCGATGGCAGCGCACTGCACGCCGTATGCATTGTTGATGACATGTGGAACAGAGAAGCGGTGGCAGATGTGAGCGATTGATTTAACGTTGTCTGGGGCCCTGGAAGGGAGGGCAGTGGAAAGGAGATGTTAGCAGGGGACAGGGAAGCAGGGAGCAGCACTGCACGTGAGTACTGATAGCCGCAGTGATAGCAGCGCTCTGCACACTGTACGCGTTGTTGATAACATGGGGAATGGAGAGGCGCGCGCAGAGGCGTGCAATAGCTTCGACGCTGTCAGGGGCCCTGGGAGGGGAGGGAGTGCAGCAGCGAGTGAGAGGAAGAGGGAGAGGATGGCAGTGCCAGGAATGAGGGCAGCAGTGATAGCAGCGCCATGCACGTCGTACGCGTTGTTGATGACGTGCGGGATGGAGAGGCGGTGGCAGAGGCGAGCGATTGATTCGACTTTGACTGGGGCTCTGGAAGGGATTGGAGTGAGGGAAGGAGGGAGTGAGTGGAGGAGGGAGAGGATGCCAGTGCTGGGTACCGGCTTTTGAGACATTTCGAAAATCACCTGGGAGCGAAGCAGGAGGTGGTGGAGAGCACGCAGAGAATGCTGTCCGCCTCTCGGGAGCGGATCTATATATTTTGAGGCCTACCATAATTTGGGAGAGAAGCAGGGTAGAGCAAGGCACCTGGGGGCGAAGCAGGAGGTGGTGGAGAGGACACAGAGAATGCTCTCGGCCCCTCGGGAATCGATTTCCCTTTCCATGGCTGCAAGGTCCGTGCACAGCTGATCTCCCTCCTTACGCAGGGGCACCACCTGGGATGGGGAGAATGGTGATGAAGCGAAGGGTGGGGTTGGCATGCGTGACTGAAACGAGTGTGACAGAAGCAGATGGTGGTGCTGAGGACGCAGACAATGCTCTCGACCCTTTGGGAATCAATCTGCCTTTCCATGGCTGCAAGGTCCGTGCATAGCTGATCGCCCTCCTTTAGCAGAGGAATCACCTGCAGTGGAATGGTTGAGATGGGGAAGGGGATTCGGACCACAGCAGTGAGGATGCAGTTGAGGGGAGTGTGTGTGGGTGCAGTCACAGCAGCACGGACCATAGCACGTGTCATAGACTGAGTAACGTAGTGCACATCAAATGATTGATTCACTCACCACGGGAGTGAGGCCAGCAGTGACGATGCACTTGAGGCATGTCTTCTGGTCGATGCGCGACCATAGCACGTACCTGCCATGGGACACACGCCATGCCATGCCATGCCATGCCATGAGAGTGAGGAGAGAGAGAGTGAGAGCCATGCCTGTCGCCACTGGCAGCACTTTCAATTCATGACCCATGGCTCCCTCCCTCTCTTGTGACTTTTGAGTCGACTCAAAAGTCACCTCGTTTCAATTCATGACCCATGGCTCCCTCCCTCCCTCGTTCATCCCCTCCCTCACTCACTCCCTCACTCACTCACTCACTCACTCACTGTGCGGAGGGCCTGCTGGCTTTGAGAGCGAGGAGAGCGAGAGTGAGGGCCATGCCGGTTGCCACTGGCAACACCGTCACTGCTGATATGTCTGATGGGGGCATACATGCATGGGGGCATAGATGCATGGCGCACACACATCAGCATAAGTATGGACCAGAAAGAGTAGGAAAATGTCTGCATGCATCGTGACATACATGCACGGCCATACACATGGAGCATCATGAGAAGGGTGACGGCCGAGTCTCCTATAGCAATACATTGAATGGGTTGGGCATATGTCTATTTTTGAGGCGCCTAAAAAATGGGTTAAGGGCGGATTCCTGACTTCGTGTCATTCCGTGCTTATTTTTACGAACCGCGGGTTTCCCGGCTTGAGATTCGGGTTTTCCGATTAGATCCCACAATTTCGGACGACACAAATAGCGGATGACACAAAGTCAGGAATCCGCCCTGAGCACATGCCATACAAAATGAGGACTTGGTGAGAACGTACCTTTGAGGCCTGCGAGTGAGAGAGCATCCTTGACAAGTAGATTGGTGAGGCGGCATGCCAGTGTTGACCCCGCTGCCTGGTGGATGGGTGGGTGGTGGATGGTAGATGGGGCACAATGGCACACAGTGGAAGGGGAAGCAGATGTCAGATGGGGGACTCTTGTTGAGGCCTGCGAGGGAGAGGGCGTCTTTGACAAGCAGGTTGGTGAGGTGGCATGCCAGTGTTGACCCCGCTGCCTGGTGGATGGGTGGGTGGTAGATGGGGCACGGTGGCTCATGGGACATGGTGCATGGTGGAAAGGCGGAGGATGGTGGACTATTGTTGAGGCCTGCGAGTGAGAGAGCATCCTTGACTAGTAGATTGGTGAGGCGGCATGCCAGTGTTGACCCCGCTGCCTGGTGGATGGGCATGGCAGATGGGACACGACACATGACATATGGCACATAGCAGAAAGGACGTCATCTAAAGATACACTGGCGGCATGCCAGTGTTGACCCCGCTGCCTGGTGGATTGGTGGGGGTGGATGGCACATGGGAGATGGTACATGGCACATGGCATGGTAGGGAGCATGGCAGAATGGCCGACAGACATATGAGTGCACACCTTGGGCTGCTCGTCTGCGATATGCCGTAGTGCCATGTCGCGTTGCAACTTGCATCATGCATGATCCTAGCTACGCACACAGAGAGCCGCAGTTTCAGTGCCCACCTTAGGCTGCTCATCTGTAATATTCCCTGATCGCCCCATGCCATGAGTCATGCCGTAGTGCCTCCGTCTTACAAGCCCACTTGCACACCGCGCCTCCCGCTCCCCCATGCCCACATTCCCCTTGAACCCGCTGCTGTCCATCAGTGACAGGTCCTGGTGCAAATGTGATGGGGTTGGGGTTGGGATGAAATAAGGACCATCCCTTGGGACCATCCCTATCTTGCAGTAGAGTCAGTCAAAGGCTGTCTCTTGTTGCTGTTGCAAAGGTTGCTGAAGCATCTTAGCCGTCCAATCTCATGAGAGGAAGGATCTCACCTTGAGCAGCGTAACAGGCTCTTCACCTGCCATGTCATGTGCCACGTGGCACGCAGGCATACATGCACGATTAATACCATTCAAATCTTAAGAGGAGTACAGTAAGGCTTCCATAATGTCGTGATGCCGTTTAGGGTTACTGAGGTAGTTTAAATGGCTTCACGACCAGCTATGGCTGAATGACACGTGGCAGTCGCACGCACCATGTTGTGCCGCTGCGCGAGCGACTGCGCGCCCTGTCGCACGTACGACGGCGACACGAGCCCCTCCGAGAGCTTCAGATTCGCCGCGTCCATGCTCGTCGCCGGGCGACGTCGCCCAGTCGCACGACGACCAATCGATCGCAAGTGCAAAATGCGTGGGATATTCCCAAGGCTCTATTATACTGTTCGATGCAGAACCTTTCCAAAAGGACCAATGCTCGCTCATCTAAACCCTGATAGGGCTGTACGGTTGGTGTAGTTGATAGAAGGATTAGGGTTGTTTGGGGATTGATAGTACTGGAGAGTTGTTAGCATTTATCGTGGCGAGAATTAGGGTTCGCCATAAATCTTCGAATTCCATTTATCAACCCCAAAATCCCAGACTAGCAGTCCAGCACCCGTTGCGAGCAGTAGCCCTTCAGACCGCATGAGACCGCAATAGGCCACATCAGACCGGCCCGAAACGACTCTGAAACAGCTGATTTGCAGTCCCGCCGTGAAACGCGCCGTCGAACGCGGCAGCCATGGAGGAGAGCGACGCGGCCGTGTCGGTACGCGTGCTGAAGGAGCGGCTGACGTGGCAGCCGAGCGCCGCGGCGAGCCGTGGGGATCGCGGCAGCAGTAGCCCCGCGATAGAAGCGCAGGCTGACACGTGTACCCGCGCGACACAAACAGGGCAGCTTGTAGCGGAGACAGAGAGCAACGAGGCGGAGGGACGTATCAGGGAGGTCCCTCTGACGGCGGAAAACGAGAGTAATCGCGAGCGGCTTTACGGCATGCTGCGCGATGTGGCATGCGACGGGCTCTGCCTCTCGCTGCTGCTCCTCGGACCCAGAGGCTGTGGCAAGAATCTTGTGAGTGCAGTGGGCTGTGAGCGGTGGGCTGTGAGCGGTGGGCTGTGGGTGGCGTGTTTTGAGCGCCTTACAACCCTCCTCCCCCAGTGCCGGCTGCACGGCATGCTGCACGACGTGGCGTGCGACGGGCTCTGCCTCTCGCTGCTTCTTCTCAGGCCGCGGGGATGCGGCAAGACTCTGGTGAGTGCAGTGGGCTGTGGGTGGCGTGTTTGGAGTCGCTTAAAACCTTCCTCCCCCGGCAGACCCTAAAAAAAAAAATCCCCACATTGCACGGCATGCTGCGGGACGTGGTGTGCGACAGGCTGTGCCTCAAAAGTGGGTGCCGTGAGCTGTGGGTGGAGTGTTTTGAGTGCCTTCAAACCCTCTTCCCCTCCTTCCCACCCCTTCCCACCGCACTGCATCTCCCTCCCCTTCTCCCTCAGGTGCTGCAGCGTGTGTTGGCTGACCTGCTGTTGAGGCTCCTCAAAGCCATCCCTCCTCATCTCTTCCCACCGCATCCCACTCCACCCACCCCTCGTCTCCCTCCTCCACCTGCTCCTCTCCCCACCATGTGCTGCAGCGTGTGTTGGCTGACCTGTGTGCATCATCCCACACCCCTATTTTCCCACCCCATCCCTCCCCTGCCCACCGCACTCTCTCCCGTCTCTCCCCACCAGGTGCTGCAGCGTGCGTTGGCTGACCTGCGTGCATCACCCCACACACCACCGTTTCTCACTGTGAGTCCAAAGCTGCCACGTGCTGACACGAGCTTCAAATTCACGTGGCTAAATCTCTGGGTGACACGTGGTGCACTGGTGATGGTGACACGTGGCTTCCCTCTTGAGCGTCGATTCGATTCCATCCACTCCCATGCCATGCCATGGCATGGAGTACACCCCATAGGATTACTCCGGTGTGCGTCCCATAGGATACTCCAACCATCATGCACCCTCCATGACTGTACCCCAGTCCATGCCGTCCAATGACATCCAATCCCACTCCATCTCACCCCATCCCACCCCACCCCATCCCATCCCATCCCATCCCACCCCACCCCATCCCATCCCATCCCATCCCACCCCACCCCATCCCATCCCATCCCATCCCATCCCATCCCATCCCATCCCATCCCATCCCATTGGAACCGTTAGGTGCATCTGGATGGTCGCATGCATGCTGATGACCGTGCTGCTCTCAAGGTGCGCTCACTGCCCACAGCATTGCCATATGATATATATAACCACATGCCATACCATACCATGCCATGCCATACCATGCCATGCCATGCCGTACCATACCATGCCATGCCATACCATGCCATGCCATGCTGTACCATACCATGCCATGCCATACCATGCCATGCCATGCCATACCATACCATACCATACCATGCCATGCCATACCATACCATACCATACCATGCCATACCATACCATACCATACCATACCATACCATACCATACCATACCATACCATACCATACCATACCATGCCATGCCATTCCATGCCATGCCATGCCATGCCATGCCATACCATACCATACCATACCATGCCATACCATACCATACCATACCATACCATACCATACCATACCATGCCATGCCATGCCATGCCATGCCATGCCATGCCATGCCATGCAATTGCACACCTCTCCTGTCCCCCACCTCCCCCTTTCGCCCCTTCCTCTCCAGGAACTGGCGCGCCAATTGTCAGCCTCTCTGCCCGACCTCGATGCCCTCTCCCTGGTACTCTGCAGTCACTATTGTAAAAAGTCACACACAAGTCTCTTTTGTCCTGTTAGCCCGAGTCACTCTTGGTATTTGTTTCCACAAGAACTTTCCCCCGTCCTTTGCCTGTTCTCTCTACTGCGGAACCGCTACCTCCTCCTCCTCCGCACTGCATTGCATTCGCTATCTAAATCCTCCTCGTCCTCGTTTCCCCATCCCTCTGCTCTCCGCCAATCACACGCCAGCATTCCTACTCGGACAACGTCAGGATGCTTCACCACGTTCTCAGGTGCCCTTCTGCCCCTTCAGGTGCCTTTTCAGATCCTTAGGTGTTACTTTTTCAGATCCTCACATGCTATTCTGTCCCTTCAGGTGTTTGTTCAGGTGCTCAGGTTCCTGTCTGTATTTCAGGTGCTTTTTCCATGCATCAGGACTCAAGTGTTCTGGCCTTACTCCCACACTCTGCCTCTCACATTCACCCGCCCACCTCCTTCATGCCTTCTCGATCACAACTTACACTGCACTGCATCGCACCACATTGCACCACATTGCACCACATTGTAACTTAGACCATTGAGTCGACTCAGTAATCACTTCCCTGCCGCAAACCCAAAAGCCACACTCCTTCAAACCCGCTTCATCCTCCTCCTCCTCCACTCTACAGGCTCTGCTCTCAAGCCAGAAGGTCGCTGATTGTGATACTTGACGAGTTTGACCACTTCGCCACAGTGAGTCTCCCCCCACCTCTTGACCTGCCACTGCACCTGCCAGGATTGCACCTGCCAGGCTCTGCTCTCGAGCCAGAAGGTCGCTGATTGTGATACTTGACGAGTTTGACCACTTCGCCACAGTGAGTCTCCCCCCCCATTGGAAAGCTCTCCTCATGTGGTGACACGAGTGTTGAGTCTCCTCAGATCATGCTCATCTTGTGATGTGAAAGAGCGCATGAGGGGCAAACAGGCCGATCTGATCCGATCTGCTCTTGAAACTCATGCACTTCCCTAATCATGCCAATTTTCTTTCTTTCTGCCTTCCCTACTGAAACCGGCGTCCTCTTTCCTCCCTCTCCCCCTACACCCACCGCAGAGGGGCAAACAGGGCATACTCTACTTACTGTTAGACCTCATGCACTCTGCTGACACTCACTTGGCAGTCATCGGGATTTCTGCCTCCCAGGTATGTGCCTCTCTGCAGTGCTGGTCCTCCAAATAATACTTGTGCCTCTCAACCTGCCAATACTCTACCTGCTCTTGGATCTCATGCACTCTCCCGACACTCACTTGGCAGTCATCGGGATTTCTGCCTCCCAAGTATGTGCCTTTCCAGAAATTCTCTGTTTCTGCTGGCAAATTGTGCGCACTTGGTACCTGCATAGTTTCCCCAATCGCATGCATGCTCTTCTCACCATTAGCTGGAGAATCGAGTGTGATCTCCAACCGCAACAACACAGGGATATCTCTCGGCCACCTCCCTCTCACCCCCCCGTCCCTCCCTCTACGTCCCTCCCTCTCTCCCAACCCTCCGTCCTACGCCCAACTCAACCCCTCCAAACCCCTCTATTCCCTCCCACCCACCCTTTCCGAACCCTTACCCCAGGATGCAGACCAGCTGCTGGAGAAGCGCGTGCGATCGCGCTTCTCAAACCGAAACAGCACAAGTATACCCCTCTGCCATCTTCCTCTTAACCCCAAATCTTCGCTCCCCCTCCACCCCCTCTCGCCAGGATGCAGACCAGCTGCTGGAGAAGCGCGTGCGGTCGCGCTTCTCAAACCGCAAGATCATATTCCTGCCGCCACAGCCTCAGGACCTCATCAGGTAGTACTCTGTCTGTTCTCCGGATGAGACGTCTCAAAAACACAGGCTCATTGTGCGACTTCAGTCTCCAGTCACTCACAGTGTCCCCTCATCTCCTCATCTCCTCATCTCCTCATCTCCTCATCTCCTCATCTCCTCATCTCCTCATCCATCTCCTCCCCTTCCACAGGTTGCTTCGTTCAACCCTCACTCTCCCGGCACAGAAGCCTCCATCCCTTGCCTTTGCTCCTCCCAACACCACCAACCCATCTCACACCACTGCCGCTCCTCCCGACACCGCCGATTCGTGGCCTGCATTCGCAACGGGGTTCAATGCACGGGTTGATTCGACTTTTCAGCATCCCTCAGTACTGGCTGTTCTGCTGCAGTCAACCGCCGTCAACCGCACTGTACCGCACATCTTCAAGCTCGGGTACGTCTCCAAATTGGTCTTCCTTCAGAGATACTTCTTTGCAGTGCTTACTGCTGTGCTCGGATTCCTTAACTTTTTTTTTCCCCTAAATTTCCGCTGCCCGCAGGTTCCGGGCAGTGTGTGAGATGGTGAGGCGAGGAGGCCAGACCCTTTCGGTGTCTGACTTTGAAAGGGCGTATGCTTCCTCAACACTGCCCATTCGGCAGCAGATGCTCTCAGGTGAATCCAACAGATGCATCTTTCTGAGTCGCCTCAGAAATTGCCTGTGCTGCCACTGCTCCTGCTTCCCAGGCCAGAAATTTGACGTCTCGCTGACCTCCAACATGGAAGTCCTTGCTGCTCACCACAACCCAACCAGCACCTCAACACAGGTCTCTCAATCCTGGAGCTCTATCTCCTCGTCGCCTTCCACCGCATTGAAGCCCTTCTGCTGCTGCTGAAATCTGCCAGAGAGATTTCGTGTTTCCCTCTTGCTCCCTCCGTGCAGGCCTGTCAGTCCTGGAGCTCTATCTCCTCGTCGCATTCCACCGCACCGAAGCACGTGCTATTGCTGGGGCCGTTGCTGCTGCTGTCACATTAGGGCCTCAAAATTCGACCTTTCCCCTTTGGTCACTCACACAGGCCTTTCAGTCCTGGAGCTCTATCTCCTCGTGGCATTCCACCGCACCGAAGCACGTGCTGCTGCTGTGGCTGCTGGCGCGGCTGTTGCTGGTTCTGGTGGTGCTGGTGGGGCTGGTGCGGCTGGTGGTGCTACAGTTGAAGCAGCAACTAGTGGATCCCACCCTATTAATTTCCACACAGCCTTCAAAGGTGGGTTTGTTCCTTTCCCTTCCTTTCTATCCCGCTCTCTTCCGTGCTCTTCTGTGCCCTTTTAGTTTGGCAACCCTGTGCCGTGCTATTTACTCGGACTTTGTTTCGTTGCCACTGTTTCCTCGTTGTCATTACTACAATCTCACGATCTTGCCCAATTGCATGATTACTGCTTTCCCACTCCTGCCCACTCCTCCACCCATCCCTCCTTTGTCCAGAGTATGAATCACGAAGAGTGGCAGCCAGAGGCTCTGTCTCTGATGTGTTTTCTCATGAATCCGCCTTACAGGTAATGTGTACTGCGCATGCAACCATACCCTCACCTGTTTGAGCATTATAAAGAAGTGGTTCCTTATGCTTTCTACCTCGCACCCTCTCTTTTATTTCCTCTGTAATCAACAGGCTTACGGGCGGCTAATAGATGCCAATTTTGTAGCGGTTGCTTCTGGGCAGGCGCCAGCCAGTGTGGAAGACCTTGAATTTTTACCTGCCCGTTTGCTGGTTACGGCATACGAGCTAGAAGAGGCTATCAACAAGAATTCACGTGTTCCTGTAAGTATTTTGTCTGGACAGTTGTTGCTTCTTGCTTACATGAGGAATGTGTGACTCTTGTGACATCTTCTGTTTCTGTTTTTGTGTTTTCTTCCAGCTTGAACTGAGGAACTGGCTACAACAAGGATTGCATGAAGGAGCTCCTGTGATGTAGTAAAACGCTTTCGCGGGGATGGTTGAAGGAGAGATTCACCAATTTTAACGAGTCGTGCTGTAACCAATTTCAAAAGGTGAATGCTCGAATCGCATTCCAAATTCTGGCACAACACATCAAGCGCGACCCGGTTCAAGGCATTTCCCGCCAAACCATTCCCGAAAGCCGTCCATCCCACATTCCCTGCCCGAAGTATGCACCACCCGCCCCATCACGCCAGACTGTCGGCCAAAATAACTTCGCCGTCAGAAGCACCGTCCATTCCCTTCATCTCAGTCACATCCCTTCGCCCTCCTGCAACCATCACTCCGTCATTCTGGGCTTTCCGAGGCACCTTGTGTACGCTTTTCTTCGCGGCCTCGAGATCATCCAGACCCAAACGACTCCCAGAGGCATTCCGACCGACCAAGCTGCGTTCAAGTTTAGCTTTCGCTGTATTCATCCCTCTTGCTTGTTGGACAGTAGGTTGCAGGCTTGGGCTGAACTCCTTCCAATCCTAAGAAAGCGTCGTTTTGCGATACGAATATTAGTTCTTTCGTGTTCTTTAGTTCTTGTTAGGTGTCCTGTTGTAGGCAAGCGTGGCCACATCCGTCAGCTTCTCGCTGTCTAGCGACACCGTTCGCATGCATTACGCCGTTTAGTCCATCCGTCACACGCCGTCACACGCCGTCAAACGCCAGTCCCATTCGGTGAATCCCGTCCTCACCACCCATCCGGTTCACAGACGTTCTAGTACTTCAACGTCTTCTCCGCTCGATATAAGAACATCCGCCCGCCATGAAGAGCTTTCTAGTGCTCCTAACGTTGACTCTAGCGGCTCTCAGCTCCACGCCCCCGTCTCTCGCGGATGACCTGCCGTGGAGGGACACGCTGAAAGGCTTCAATTCTTTTCTGAAGGCCCTGGAATCGTCAGGTACGGATTATAACAAGGCAACTGTGCACTAGTGTTTTGTTACATATTCCGTCTCTCGCCGATGACCTGCCGTGGAGGGGCACGCTGAAAGGCTTCAATTCTTTTCTGAAGGCCCTGGAATCGTCAGGTATGAATCGCATCAAGGCAACCTTGCACGAGAGTTTTCTGGTTCTTATAGTTACATGTTACGTCTCTCACTGATGACCTGCCCTGGAAAAATACGCTGAAAGCTTTCGAATCTTTCCTGAAGGCCCTGGAATCGTCAGGTACAAATTGCATCAAGGCAAGCTTGCACGAGTGTTTTTTGGCCATGATTGCTAATATTCCGTCTCTCGCCAATGTCATGCCCAAAAGGAAACCTTCAGGGTGTATGCTTCCATCCTCCACTGCGATTAAAAATGCCGTACTGGCATTACAGATGCTCGCATCTGGCTCGCATACTCGAACCTACTGGACTCGTGACCTCACCCGTTTGGACTGTTGATCACCCCTCTCCACCCAGGCGCATCGAAGCTGATCGACTCGTACGTCGCCTCCCCGTTCGGCGCGCGCACGGGGGTCACTTTCCTCGCGCCGACCGACGACGCGTTCGCGGCGATGCCGCCGCAAGACGCGGAGATGCTGCGCACGATGCCGTGGGCCATGGCCAGCCAGATGCTGTTCCACGTCATCAAGAAAAGGCTCACGCATGTCCAGCTGCGCGCCGCCCGCCCCGAAACTAAGGTGCGCAACTGGAATAGATTCGAGCACGGGGAAAATTGAGCGGGAGGGGGGGGAGTGGGAAGAGGGGCGGGGGGGCATGGCCAGCCAGATGCTGTTCCACGTCATCAAGAAGCGACTGACGCATGTCGAGCTGCGATCCGCCCGCCCCGAAACGAAGGTGAAACTGGCGTGGATCTGGTCGAGCAACGGGATAGAAGGTGGGGAGGGAGGGGTGAAGGGGATGTGTGTGCTCTGGCTGGGTGCCCGTTGGTAATTCCCGTAGCAGCGCATTCCGCTTTGCTGTTCGCTCGTACCTACGTTGTCCTAAGACGCGGAGATGATGCGCACGATGCGGTGGGCCATGGCCAGCCAGCTGCTGTTCCACGTCGTCAAGAAGAGGCTGCGCCCTGCCCAAAGTCTCCTCGTCTGTGCTCACATCCCACCCTCCCCTCGTGCAGTACGGGACGCTCTCCAACGTCGCCGTCGTCAAGGTTTACGCGCCCATCCTCGAGTTCGGCCCAGCAGGGTCGCCCTATGGGCCGCAGGTAACTCCCTGTTCTGTCCCTCAACCGATCTGCACCGTACTCTCTCTCCTTGTCTCACTCTACTTTCCAACATCGCCCTCCAAGCTGACGCGCCCATCCTGGATTTCGGTCCAGCAGGGTCGCATACGTGCCTCTGCTCGCACCATTTCACATGCAAGTATCCATAATCCTCCGGCCTTTCTTCCCCTCCCTTGCGCAGGTGTCTCGCGCCAATGCGTATGTGGGTGACAGCATCGCAGTGCATGGGATCACGGATGTCATGGATCCGGGCCTCTACTCGCGACAGTTCATCCGCCCCCTCGTGCAGGTGAGCATTCCTCGTTCTTTCTAGCGAGTCTCCTTCGCCAACATCTTGCAGGCAGGTATACGCTGCCACCTACGTCAGCATTGTGCTGGTTTGCTTCTCTCCGTGCCAACTCCTTCCTGTTCCCTTTCTATTGGCCAAATCCTGACACCCCCCCCCCCCCCATGCATCCATTTCCTACAGATGAAAGCAGTCTCTGACGATCCCGCTCTGGCCCAGGCCCGGGCGCACCGTGGGCGAGTGGCATGCGAGTCAGTGCTGACAGCGCTGCAGAAGAAAGGGCTCTCTCGATTCACTGAGGCGCTTCAAAAGGCCGGTGAGTGACTGAATGTCTGCTGACCCTGCTCTGGCCCAGGCCCGGGCACACCGTGGGCGAGTGGCATGCGAGTCCGTGCTGGCAGCGCTGCAGAAGAAAGGGCTCTCTCGATTCACTGAGGCGCTTCAAAAGGCCGGTGAGTGACTGAATGTCTGCTGACCCTGCTCTGGCCCAGGCCCGGGCACGCCGTGGGCGAGTGGCATGCGAGTCCGTGCTGGCAACCCTGCAGAAGAAAGGGCTCTCTCGATTCGCTGAGGCGCTTCAAAAGGCCGGTGAGTGACTGAATGTCTGCTGACCCTGCTCTGGCCCAGGCCCGGGCACACCGTGGGCGAGTGGCATGCGAGTCAGTGCTGGCAACCCTGCAGAAGAAAGGGCTCTCTCGCTTCACTGAGGCGCTTCAGAAGGCCAGTGAGTGGACGAGGGGAAAATCCCAAAATATGCAGACGTGCTTAAGGGGGTTGTTGAATGAGTGCACGAGGCGCAGCTGGAACTGCGACTGAGCATGCTTTAGAAACACGTTTATTTCAGCGTGGCTCTCTGTTGTCTCTATGTCCCTTATGCGCTGCTCTTTCAGCACTTCAGAAGTTTATATGCCGCAAGCTCGAAAATCGTAAGTTTGCTTCTGAGTCGACTCGTAGGCTTTTTCAGAGTGGCTCTCTATTGTCTCCTCCCTTCTGCGTGTGTGGTTGTTGTTTCAGAGCTCCAGGAGTATCTATGCCGCAAGCTTGAGACTCAAGAGCTAACACTGATGGTGCCGTCCAACGATGCTTGGGATCACCTGCCTCCTGCTGTTACCGACTCTATCGCAGACAACCCGCAGAGCATAATCCAGGTACGTTTGACATGTGATGGTGAATGGTTGTTAGGCATAAAGAAACTTCTGCTATCATGTCCACATTATTTATGGCACACCAGGCAGTTGCATATATCGGTAGCAATGCAGCATCTTCAGCTTCTCCTGTTCCCCAATCCCACCGCATCAGGTCCTTCTTTTCCACATTCTTGAGACACGATTCACTGGAGCTGATCTTCGCAGCTCCGCACCAGGTGACGAGGTATGTTACGTGCTGTTCTGCTAATGTTCTTGTTGCATTTGCATCGCTCTTTGGTTTTTGCACCTGACTTCAAAATTGATGCCATATTTTTCCTTCCAAGCACCTGACTTAAACTAATCTCTGCTCTTACCAACCTGCAGTTTCCAACAGCTTCGAGCCACCCTCTGGTCCGCCTCGCTGTTCCTGGGGTGCAATTTGGCCGAAAAGGTGCGAGCTATGGGGCCCACCTGGCAGCTGTGGACATCATTTCCGATGAATTTGTGGTGGTGCACACGGTGGATGAAGTGATTGCGCCACCAAGGAAAAAGGCCTCTAGCTAGAAGGGGAGATTGTGTATAATCAGAGAAGTTCTATACCTCATCTTTTATCATACATGAGATTCTAAGATGGGGTAGCTATGTGCACTGTAGCTATTCAGCATTGATAAACCACCTAAAACACTCATGCACAACCGCAGTTGCCCATGAATCGCGTCGCGTGAAGTTCAGCGGATCGGTGCTGTGCTGACAGAATCGCTGCACTTGGTGGCAGCATCAATAATATGCTCGTCCAGCCTGCTCGCCGTCAAGTGGGCTAGAGTTCCCTTTGAGAAGCGGAAGGTGAAAAAACTCCGTCAATTAGCGATAGCGCTGACTCCCCAGATCTCGGAAGGTCGTGTTGCTGTAATCCGACGGCGAATGATGATTCTCGGAATTGCCCGTGACAAGTGGGGCATCCAGCGCAGAAACACCTCGATGTTGGTCCTGAGAATCTCATCATAATCCGTTTTCGGATTCCCGCTTTCGAACCCTCGCGATTTCATCTGAACCGTCCAGAAAGCCATCTCCGGTGATCCCAACCGTCCCATGACTAGTTTCATGGCGGCTGTCAGGCGAACTTTTGGCGCGCAACCAACCAGCAGCACGGCTCAAACCAGCTCACCTCTTCCTCAGGCTTCTCTTGGTTCTGGTCGGAGCACGTTTTTCAGAAGCAAACCTCCCCAATCCCCCAATAGCTGATTGCAGCAAGTTACAGCAAGGACCGTCCGAGACGATTCATTTGCAAGTCACAGCAGGATTTGACAAATTTGTGAATCTTCTTAGATACTCGTTCGCTGAAGTAATCTGTTCGTTTTTTCTCAGCAGCTTTACGGAATCCGTTTTGTGGTGACGGCGAGGTGGTCGTCTAGATTTAGGAGTGTTGTCCTTGCGATACTGACGTTTGGTGTCGAGTCGAGATATCGGAGTCTATTGTGTGTTGAAGCCGAGAGTAAGGAATACTGCGCGATAAAGTCTTCTCGTGCAGGCAGGCAGCTAGCAATTCGTTAGGATTAACTACTTCTACGGAACTGACCAACACATCGCAGACAGGCGTCTCCGCCTCCTCATATCCATGTGAATGGGTGTCATGGCTGCCTCGTCAAGCTCCAAGCCTCCTCTCTCCCCGTCCTCGTCCGCACTAGACCTCAGTCGCTTGTCGTATGCCCTGTCCGCTCCTGACGCTCTCGGTCAGTCGCTCGAATTCAAGCAAGACCTTTCGTCGCCGGTTCAACCTGTCAGTTCGGCTCCGGCAATTGGAGGCGGCCTGTCCGTTAAGCAGTCGCTCTGTCAGGCGGTTTTGCGGATAGTTTTGGAGAATGTTCAGAGGGATGGACACAGCAGAGAGGTTCAGGATTCGGTGTCTAAGCACTTCGCAACGCTACCTTCTAGGTAACGTGTCCAGCGTTTCTAACGTTCCACAACGAACATGCTGCGGTTAAGGAGTCGGACCTCCCTGAAGCTGGGGTTACAGTTCAAAACTCGGTGGCAGGATTCCTCAGTCTCTGGATAGCGGATTTCGTATACCGTCACATTTGAAATGTTTCTCTCTCTCGTCTCGTGTCGTCGCACCGGATGTTGTCCATCGTCATCTGTCGCATACTCAGGCTGCAATTGCGCTTTCCTCCATCGTACTTAGCCGCTGTCTGCAAACTCCCCGCAATCGAGCTCTTTGTGTGAATCGAGCTCTTTGTGTGAATCGAGCTCTTTGTTTGTCCGAGGAACAAGCTGTGCTCGATGACCCGGAACATGAATTGTATTTCTCGTTAGTAAACGCCATACTTTTTCCATATCTAAAATTCTTTATTTTCGTTAACTTGGCCGTTTTCCACCCCGCGCCTTACCGCAGGTACGCACTGAGCGTGAATCCGCAGCGTCATGAGGACGTGTTGCTCCACATGCGTCTCATCAACGAGGCTCGCACGCTCAATCAAACCGACCCGGACCTAGGCCCGGTCGTCCGAGTCCGCCGGGTTTGCCTCGGCCGAGCCAAGTCGTCAGGTTCGGCAGGGGGGGGAAACGCAGCGGAATTTGCGAGTTCACCCAGGAGGAGGCACAGCACGGATCTTTCGAGCAACAGCCCGTCCGGAAGAAGCCTGGAAGGTTCCCAGAAGGCGGCGGTTTCCGCCGCGGTAGCAGCGGCTAGCGGGAGTGCTGCTTCTGCAGGCTCTTCCGATTCAGGTCTAGCATCAGGTCTAGCAGCAACAGGAGCGTCAGGGTTACCAGCAGCAGGAGCGTCAGGGGCGTTTCCAGGAACATCAGGGGCATCAGGGCTGTCCGCGTCTGGGTCACAGCCGCAGCTGCATGGGTCAAATCCCGCTCCGCGCAGAAGCATCCCCTGTCCTGGAACCCTGTCGAGACTCATCCCACAACCCACCTTCGGCTCCTCCGCGCCCAACTGCTACAGCCTGAGCGGTCTAGGCTCGGCGGGTTCCTCTGCTGTGGATTTGAGCCAAGGCGCTCCCACCGCGACCGGCCGCAAATCTGGGTCGCTTACTGGCAGGTCGCCGTTTGGTTCTGGTAGTATCGGCAACGCCAAGGGCAGCAGCAGTCATTTCTCGTTAGCGGCGACGTTAAGGGAAGGCGTGCCGTTCTCGTCTGCGTCGGATTTGAGGGGAGACGCGGTGGGGGGAGGGTTGGGCAGCGCGGGAGGGTTGGGGAGCGGCGGAGGGTTCCTGGTTGGGTCGAGAGGGTCGGCGTCGAGTCTAGGAACAGATGGGGACGAGGATGATAGTCGGAGTGGGGGGTCGAGCTGGCACGGTCCGGGAGGGTTTGAAGGGGCGGAGGGCGATGGGTATGTGTACGGGTGGGAGGTGTCGATTGCGGCCCCGGATAGACCGGGGTTGCTGACGTGGTTCACTTCGGCGCTGGCGAATTCGGACCTGGAGCTCAACATTAATGTGAGTAGGGGAGGTGTGGGTTTGGGGTTGGTTCTTGCAGTGTGCCGCATATGTAGACCGGGGCTGCTGACGTGGTTCACTTCGGCTCTGGCGAATTCGGATTTGGAGCTCAACATCAATGTGCGTATTGTTGTCCAAAAAACCCCAGTGTCTTGATGTTTGGTTTCTTTGATGCTGTGTGAATACGCTGGGGTTGCTGATATGGTTCACTTCAGCGCTGGCGAATTTGGACCTGGAGCTCAACATCAATGTGAGTGAGGGAGGTGTTTGTCTGGGATTAGTTTTTGAAGCGCCTTGAAATTGGACCGGGATTATTGACGTGGTCCTCTCGACGTTGTTCACTTTGACGCTCGCGAATTCGGACCTGGAACTGAACATTAACGTGGGTGAGGAAGGTGTTGTTCTAAGATTGGGTTTGGGATGCGTGAAAATAGGACTGGGGTTGCTGTTGTGGTTGCCTTTGGCTCTGGCAAATTCGGACCTGGAGCTAACATATTATGTGAGTGGGGGAGGTGTTTGTTTGAGGTGTTGAATGATACGCGTGAAAAGTGGACCAGGGTTGTGAACATGGTCAGTAATTCGGACTCGGAGCTCAATCTTAACGTGAGCAGGGGAGGTGTTGCAGTTGATTCCCTGGCGATTTCGCTCTTGGTTGCTGTAGCCACCGTCTTCCTGCCTGCCTTTGTCGATCCACACTGCTTGTGTCGATCCACTCTGCTTTCTTCCCGCATGTCGTTGTTGATCCTTGTACAGTTGTTTGCACATTGTTGCACATCCTTCTGAGCTGCTTCCCCCTTACCATGTTACAGGAGGCGCACGTATTCAGCACATCGGATGGCATGGCATTGCAGGACTTTGTGGTCACCACGCCAAAGCACCACCAGAGTTTCTATGCCAATGTACGAACTAGTTTCTCAGCGGACTCAAAGTCAGCTCGCCAGGGCTTTTTTTTTTTTTTTTTTTTTTTTGTTTGTTTACGGGCATATTTCCGTGGTTTATCACTCTCGAGGCACCTCAAAACGTTATCTTGTCTTGTGTTTGTCCGGCGGAAGAGCTCCAGGACGCACTGACGCATGTGATGTCCTCCCTGCCCTCCTCCCTCTCCCCCCTCTTACCTGTCCTGTGTTGGCAGGAGGAGGAGCTGCAAGACGCGTTGACGCACGTGGTGCGCATCAAGTGGAGAGAATCTCTCATCCACTCCTGAAGCACTCCCTGCCCATCCTGCCCTCTGCCCTTCTCGCCCTCCATTACATGTTTCGCGTTGACAGGAGGAGGAGCTTCAAGACGCGCTGACGCACGTGGTGCGCATCAAGTGGAGAGAGCGGGACGTGAAGCAGGCGTCAGAGCAAATGCAGCTGGCGAATCTGAGGGCAGTGGTGGAGGCAATGGCGTATGAGGACTGGGCGGTGGACTACCATGATGTGAGTTGACTTGGCACACTGGTTCGTCTTCCCTGCATGCACTAGGTCTGCGTTGTCCTGTGCACATGTAGCTATGGAGATACTGGTGGAGGCCATGGCGTATGAGGACTGGGCGGTGGACTACCACGATGTGAGTCGTGCGTCTGTGTGTCCCTTGGTAGCCATGCATGCTCTCATGTCGTTATGCATACATACAGATGCACATCCATGCATCGTAGCTGCGTCCTTTTCCCCCTGTCCCCTTCCCATCTCCCCCTCACATCTCCCGCTTCCATCTCCCCTTCCTTCTTATCTCTTAAACGCCTACGCCACCTACAGCTGGGCATAGGCGAGAGGCTGGGCGGAGGAGCATCAGGGCGGCTATGCAGAGGCACGTACAGAGGGCAGGACGTGGCAGTCAAGGTCATCACACTCGCTGCTGCTGACGACATGGCTTCTTCTCTCTTTCTCTCCCCCTCTCATTCACGCGTCCCTGTCTCCCCTTCCCTTTACCCTCTTCGTCCTTCCCTTCCTCCCCTCCCATCTTTAACCCCACCCATGTGTGACTGCTCTCCACCCCGACAGCTCTGCATAGGCGAGAGGCTGGGCGGGGGGGCGTCGGGGCGGCTGTGCAGAGGCACGTACAGAGGGCAGGACGTGGCAGTCAAGGTCATCACACTCGCTGCTGCTGATGACATGGCGGCGCCTGGGGGAGGGCTGAGGGGAGGGCCGGCCGGGGTGGGGGATGCTGGCATGTCGGTGTCGATGCGGAGTGCTACGGCTCTGGAGCTGCTGCAGTGTTTCAAGCAGGAGGTCGCTATAATGAGGTGTGTTGCTGTTTCTCGGCTGATGGGATTCAGTGGGAGGGTGGAAGAAGTGAAGTGGCGCTGCACTGGAGCTGTTGCATTGCTCAAAGCAGGATGTCACTATAATGAGGTCTGTGCCATCTGTGTCCTCTCTGCCCCCGGTGGTGCCTGCCCTGTGTCCCCTGTGGGCCCTCTGCCTCCTGTGCTCCCTGCCAGGATGGTGCGTCACAAGAACCTGGTGCAGTTCATCGGAGCGTGCTCGCACTGGCCACGGTTATTCATCGTCACAGAGCTCATGGCACGGGGCAGGTATGCTTCATAGCGTTGGACCCACAGTTTTTTTCTTTCGTCCTCTGCTGTTATTCATCGTCACATAGCTCATGGCACAGGGAAGGTATGGTGAGACATCTTTTTTTCTTGGCGATTATTTTGTAGTCGACTACTGTTTAGTCCACTATTTTTCAGTCGAGTATTTTATAGTCGATTAATAAATCGTCTCATCACACGCGGTATGGCGGTATGGCGTTGCTTTGCCTCAGTTGTTACTCGTCCTCATACAGCTCCCTCCCTCCCACTGAGGGGGGGCTGGACTGCCTTCTCGGAAAGGGCCTCCATTTTCCTTTACTTTCATTCCTCCTCCTGCGCCTCTCTTTGCTTGACTTGCATGTGCTTTAATTCCTTCTTTTTCCCCTCCGTTGATCTCGCCTCTGTGCAATGCAGAGTGCGGGACGTGTTGGATCAGAGAGGATGCGGGTTGCCACTGCCAGTGGCGCTCAAGATCCTGAGGGACGCGGCACGAGGACTTGACTTTGATTCCTCCTATTTCCCCTCCGTTGATCTTGCCTCTGTGCAATGCAGTGTGCAGGATGTGATGTGTTGGACCAGAGGGGGTGCGGATTGCCCCTGCCAGTGGCATTCTATTCCGCCACTCATCTCCTGTCCTCGCCTCCCCTTTTCCTCCCACCTGCCTGTTCGCGATGCAATGCAGTGTGCGGGACGTGTTGGATCAGAGGGGGTGCGGGCTGCCCCTGCCAGTGGTGCTCAAGATCCTGAGGGACGCGGCACGCGGGTGGGACTTTCTGGTCCGGAGAGGCATTGTGCACCGTGACCTTCATTGTACATGTCCTCCTTTCTCCCCCTTTCCTGTCTGTGCACAATGCAGTGTGCGGGATGTGTTGGACCAGAGGGGGTGCGGATTGCCCCTGCCAGTGGCGCTCAAGATTCTGAGGGATGCAGCACGGGGACTAGACTTTCTGCACCGGAGAGGCATTGTGCACCGGGATTTGAAGGCTGCTAACCTGCTGGTGGATGAGAATGATGTGAGTGGGTTGAGAGCGGTTGAGAATGGTCGAGAGAAATGTGATGCGGTTGGGAGTTGTGTGAGTGGGTGATAGTGTTGTGGTTGAGAGCGATGCGGCACGTGGGCTGGACTTTCTGCACCGGAGAGGCATTGTGCACCGGGATTTGAAGGCTGCTAATCTTCTGGTGGATGAGAATGATGTGAGTGGTTGATAGTGGTGTTAGTGGGCGTGAGAGTGGTGTGATGCGGTAGGGATTGATTTGATGTCGCTGAAAGGGACGTGGCACGGGGCCTGGACTTTCTGCACCGAAGATGGATTGTTCACCGGGATCTGAAGGCGGCAGACCTGCTGGTGGATGGGAACGACGTGAGTGGTTGAGAGTGGTGTGACGTCCTTCAGACCGGTGGGACGTGGTTAAGAGGGTAGTGGCTTGTTGGCTGGAATTTCTGCAGTGGAAGGGCATAGTGCACGGGAACCTCGTTATCTCTTTTGCCAACCCGCACTCCTCTTCCCCACCCTGTCATCTTTACTTTCCATTTCAGGTGGTGAAGCTGTGCGACTTTGGAGTGGCAAGACTGCTGCCATCAAAGCAGGCAGGGCAGCTGTGTGGGGAGCCCACCGCCAAGTCACGGCCGGACATGACAGCAGAGACAGGCACCTACCGCTGGATGGCACCTGAGGTAGGTATCACCTGACGTAGGTAACACCTGGTGGCCCCTGGGATAACACGTGCTGCTGCCATCTAAGCAGGCAGGGCAGCTGTGTGGGGAGCCCACCGCCAAGTCACGACCAGACATGACAGCCGAGACAGGCACCTACCGCTGGATGGCACCTGAGGTAGGTAACACCTGAGGTAGGTAACACCTGGGGTAGGTAACACCTGGTGGCACATGGGGTAACACGTGCTGCCGTCGAAGCAGGCAGGGCAGCTGTGTGGGGAGCCCACCGCCAAGTCACGGCCAGACATGACAGCAGAGACAGGCACCTACCGCTGGATGGCACCTGAGGTAACATCTGACAGCACCTGAGGTAGCACATGATGGTAAATGACCCTCTTCCAGTGCTGCAACCACCACCTGCGCCCATTTTTTTGCCTTTCTCTTTCTCCCATTCCTTCGCCAGTTCCCCTCCTGAGCCTTTTTTTTATTATCTCCACTTGAACTGTTTTTCCCGCTCTGCAGATAATAAAGCACTCACCGTACACTAGTCAGGCTTCACGACGTGTCAAATACGCCTTTCGTCTCGTCTCTGCCGTTGCTTGGCAGGTGATGGAGCACCAGCCATACGACCACCGCGCGGACATCTTCTCATTCGGTGTCACCATGTGGTGGGTCCCATTCGGTGTCTTCTCTTTTTGGTGCAGTTTTCCGTGCACGTGTCTTTTACTTCCTAACTGTCAACCTGTCATGCTTTCACACCGAACCCAACTCCCCCACACCCACACCCCCACCCCACCTCCCCGTACATCTACTCTTCCATACTCTTCCATCTACTCCCATCTTTTCCCAGTTCTCCTGTTAATTCAAACCATCTCCCATCATCTCCCCTCTCCTCCCATTGTCTCCCATCATATGCTGCCTCTCCAAAGAGGTCACCACGGGCCAGCTGCCCTACACTGCCTCTAAAATTCTCATTTTTAGGTGCCTCAGAAGCCACTTTTGAGGCCCCTCAAAAGTCATTATATGCTGTCTTTTCGGTGAGGTCACCACTGGCAACCTGCCCTACACTGCCTCTAAAATTCTCATCCACTCTTGCCCATCCTGTTTCATCCGCTCCCATGGTCTCCCATCGTCTCCCATCATTTCGTGCGCTGTCTCACCAGGGAGGTCATTACAGGCGACCTGCCCTACACTGGCCTCACTCCCCTACAAGCAGCCATTGGCGTCCTGCAAAGGTATCTCTTTCAGCAAGCATCTCAATGAATTTTTGCCTGCTATTCGCACTCGGCGATGTTCCGGTGCTTTGCTGGATATTTTCCTTTACTGCAGAACACCCTGGTATACAGCTACTTGCGGGCATGCAACCTTTGAGATGTGTATGTGTTTCTCCCATAACGATTTTTTTGTCCTCTTGTTTCATTTGTCTGTTGGTTCATTTTGGCTTTCTATGTGCAGAAACCTACGCCCGCCTCTCCCTCCCGGGCTACCATCTCGCATCAGCAGTCTCATCACTCGCTGCTGGGCTGCTGATCCTGCTGTCAGACCTGAATTTACCGAGGTAACCACTTTTTCCCCCTTGTTATTATATTCTTGTAACGACAGCCTCATGCTTTTTACATCTGCTGCGCAGTGCGACAAATGGTGTACGCTGTTTCTTGACTCAGGGGCATCTATGACTCTCACCTGCGTTTCTACCTTGTCCAATCGACCCCCCCCCTTGCGATTCAGATACTCTCCACTTTGGACAGCTGCTTAAAAGGAGTCTCACCATCCTCACTTGTAATAGGTTCCGCGATTGGAGCAGGAGAAAGTAGCAGTGGCAGCAGTGGCGGTTCGATTGGACATCTCATTAGAAAATCCATTTTCGGTGGGGGTGGATCTAAGAAATATTGAGAGGCGCGTACCGTATACCGTATGGGTCCTGCAAGGTCCATATAGCGCCAGATAGGTTGCAACGGGAATGCAGGGTGTGCTAGATTGCATGAAGCGCTTACACATCTGAGGCAGCACACTCTTGTTTGTTTCCCTCATTTTTGCAGATGTGCATTGTTTGTGTTGTTTTTGAAGGTTTAGTTTACTCGATTGTATATTCTTGTAGTTTCCGCTATTGACGAGTTTGGCCTTGTTGGCAATCTTGTCGCGCTGATTAGGGCCGCTCACTTTCCCGCCAAATCTTCGCGAGTAAGGTATTCGCGTTTCGTAGTACTTCGCATGCCAGGATGACCACGCCTCAATACTGCGCACCTTGCGTCGGGTTACCTTCCACTCAGGAATCGTTACGTGCATTAGCGACGACCTGATTGGAGCATCTATCGGGTTACCCTTCGCCAGTCACGTCAACTTCTTTTCAAGTCAACTGTTCACTTTTTCTGACCACTTTATTGGTGGTGGTTGTGGGGTAGATGTAGAACTGAATCCAGTCAATGGCTCCCTGGCTGGAGCACCACTCACCTGCCTCGTGTTCTCCTGATTCACTATTCAGCGTGTGTGCTTATCCAGTCCTGGCTTTTGACAGCTTGATCGTGCTCTGACGCTTGGACTAATGAATTACTAGGTGCATGGAACTTGCGATTAGGTTTAGATGCTAACGCCACTGATTTGACTTATAGCCTGAAGTCGGAAGCGGCTGGTGTTCGTGTAGTAGGGATCTCGTATCTGCCGCTAGTTCTCTGAAGGTGGCGGTTTCTGTTGCGCATTGCGTTGCGTGTGCAGTTAGTTGTCGCATCCATGGCGTTAGCGGTTTAAGGGTGCTCGACAATCTCTTTAATATGACGAGGCTCAACGAGGGACTACTGTAGCTTTTGAAAAGCCGCTTCGATTTATCCAATAGCGAGGATTCGGCAATTGAGGATCTTAGACGAGGTTAACTCCGTCAGGCTGCCTTGACCTGCTCCTAAGAATGCCTGAGGACGATTCGGAGCCGCAAGCGCAGCACGCGGGTAAAGCAACGACCAAGCATGAGCAACTGCAGCAACAACCGCCACAACCACAGCCATCAGCGTCACCACCGCCACCACCGCAACAACAGCAACAGCAACAACCAGCAGCATCAGCAGCGGCGGGTCAGCAGCAGCAAGGCCAGCAAGCGGGGAAGATGGAGTACAATCACCTTCAGGCACGTGCACGCACGCGCCCGCACGTGGTTACACGTGGATGCACGTGGATTCTCGTGCAGATCCGTTTCGAAGTCGAATGGACTTTCTGAGTCGACTGGAAAGCCGCTTAAAAACCTCTCAGAAATCGGTTCCTACTTGCCGTTCCTTTCACCTACGTCGCCTGCTTCTCACGTTTGCGATCCGTGTTTACCTGAATTCTCAAGGTCGCTTAACCAGATGCTAGTTTTTTCGACCGTCTGACAAGATTTAAGAATTTTCATTACCAGATGCTTCCTGCTCGAACATCTGTTGCCTTTCCTTTCCCTTCTGACCGCGCACTTGTGGCTGTCCGATTTTGCGGGCCGCTCTTTTCCTCTCTTGAATTCTTATCGACTGCCACGTGGCAAGGAAGAACCACTTGCCACGTGTCCATATCTTAACCGCCTGGCAATATTCTTCTTTGACTAACGCGATATTTCGAAGGCAACTGAACGCGACTGTAGCGCCGCGCATCCCCTCCTTACGTCGTGCAAGCGAACCACTCCCCCAGTCATTATCCGACCCTGGCGTGTGATTGTGTTTTGTCTTCTTTCCCCAAGTGAAGGTGTATTGGCTGAACGACGATGCCAAGTGGGACGACAGCGGTCCGACCTTCCGTCCATCTGTTGTGCAGGCAAATTTTTCTCTACCCAGTCGTAACCTCTCTCTGGCTTGCGGCTGTGTCTGCTTCCCCCCAACAGCGGGTGAAGGTGTATCGGCTGAACGACGATGGCAAGTGGGACGACAAGGGAACAGGCCACGTGTCAGTGGAATACCTCGAGGTAGGGGTTTGAGTCGTGAATTACGTCTGATCCTAATGAAGAGATTAAAGCGGACAGGCAGGCCACGTGTCAGTGGAATACCTCGAGGTAGGGAGTCCAGGCATGAGTGAATTGCATTTGGCTGCATAGAGGGATCTCTTGTTTTAAATAGAGGAAGAGAGTACACAGGCCACGTGTCAGTGGAATACCTCGAGGTAGGGGTTTGAGACGTTAATTGTGCCTGGTGATGTATAGGGATTTTTACCTGAGACTCGAGTTAGGTAGTTGTGTTTACTTGTGCTAACGCGGACAGTGTGTCAGAGTCTGTTCCACGTGCTGTGTTTATCACGTGCAGCCATCCCGTATGCCATCATCCCATGCTGTAAAGACCGGGTGGTGATTGACGAGGAGGGCAATGCACAACGCTGTTCGATAAGTGCTTCATAGTTTGATACCCGTGTGTATTTGTTTCCCCACTTTGGCCCTTGCTGCGGAGGTCGGACGCCATAGGGCCGGTGGTGATAGGCGAGGAGGACAACACAGTCCCCTGTGTTTTAGTCTAGACACTAGAAAATTGAATACTTGCCTTTCTGCCTGCCCTCATGTCAACTCCCCATGGTGCAGAGGTCGGACGCCATAGGGCCGGTGGTGATAGGCGAGGAGGACAACACAGTCCCCTGTGTTTTAGTCTAGACACTAGAAAATTGAATACTTGCCTTTCTGCCTGCCCTCATGTCAACTCCTCATGGTGCAGAGGTCGGACGCCATAGGGCCGGTGGTGATAGGCGAGGAGGACAACACAGTCCCCTGTGTTTTAGTCTAGACACTAGAAAATTGAATACTTGCCTTTCTGCCTGCCCTCATGTCAACTCCCCATGCTGCAGAGGTCGGACGCCATAGGGCTGGTGGTGATTAATGCGGAGGACAACACAGTCCTTTGTGTTTCGGACACTAGAAAGTTGAACAATAGAAAGTTGAATACCTGTGTTTCGGTCCTCATGCCGCCATCCCATCCCATCCCATTCCATCCCATCCCATGCAACAGAGGTCGGACGCCATAGGGCTGGTGGTGATTGATGAGGAGGACAACACAGTCCTTTGTGTTTCGGACACTAGAAAGTTGAACAATAGAAAGTTGAATACCTGTGTTTCGGTCCTCATGCCGCCATCCCATCCCATCCCATTCCATCCCATCCCATGCAACAGAGGTCGGACGCCATAGGGCTGGTGGTGATTGATGAGGAGGACAACACAGTCCTTTGTGTTTCGGACACTAGAAAGTTGAACAATAGAAAGTTGAATACCTGTGTTTCGGTCCTCATGCCGCCATCCCATCCCATCCCATTCCATCCCATCCCATGCAACAGAGGTCGGACGCCATAGGGCTGGTGGTGATTGATGAGGAGGACAACACAGTCCTTTGTGTTTCGGACACTAGAAAGTTGAACAATAGAAAGTTGAATACCTGTGTTTCGGTCCTCATGCCGCCATCCCATCCCATCCCATTCCATCCCATCCCATGCAACAGAGGTCGGACGCCATAGGGCTGGTGGTGATTGATGAGGAGGACAACACAGTCCTTTGTGTTTCGGACACTAGAAAGTTGAACAATAGAAAGTTGAATACCTGTGTTTCGGTCCTCATGCCGCCATCCCATCCCATCCCATTCCATCCCATCCCATGCAACAGAGGTCGGACGCCATAGGGCTGGTGGTGATTGATGAGGAGGACAACACAGTCCTTTGTGTTTCGGACACTAGAAAGTTGAACAATAGAAAGTTGAATACCTGTGTTTCGGTCCTCATGCCGCCATCCCATCCCATGCAACAGAGGTCGGACGCCATAGGGCTGGTGGTGATTAATGCGGAGGACAACACAGTCCTTTGTGTTTCGGACACTAGAAAGTTGAACAATAGAAAGTTGAATACCTGTGTTTCGGTCCTCATGCCGCCATCCCATCACATCCCATTCCATCCCATCCCATGCAACAGAGGTCGGACGCCATAGGGCTGGTGGTGATTGATGAGGAGGACAACACAGTCCTTTGTGTTTCGGACACTAGAAAGTTGAACAATAGAAAGTTGAATACCTGTGTTTCGGTCCTCATGCCGCCATCCCATCACATCCCATTCATCCCATCCCATGCAACAGAGGTCGGACGCCATAGGGCTGGTGGTGATTGATGAGGAGGACAACACAGTCCTTTGTGTTTCGGACACTAGAAAGTTGAACAATAGAAAGTTGAATACCTGTGTTTCGGTCCTCATGCCGCCATCCCATCCCATCCCATTCCATCCCATCCCATGCAACAGAGGTCGGACGCCATAGGGCTGGTGGTGATTGATGAGGAGGACAACACAGTCCTTTGTGTTTCGGACACTAGAAAGTTGAACAATAGAAAGTTGAATACCTGTGTTTCGGTCCTCATGCCGCCATCCCATCCCATGCAACAGAGGTCGGACGCCATAGGGCTGGTGGTGATTAATGCGGAGGACAACACAGTCCTTTGTGTTTCGGACACTAGAAAGTTGAACAATAGAAAGTTGAATACCTGTGTTTCGGTCCTCATGCCGCCATCCCATCCCATCCCATTCCATCCCATCCCATGCAACAGAGGTCGGACGCCATAGGGCTGGTGGTGATTGATGAGGAGGACAACACAGTCCTTTGTGTTTCGGACACTAGAAAGTTGAACAATAGAAAGTTGAATACCTGTGTTTCGGTCCTCATGCCGCCATCCCATCCCATCCCATTCCATCCCATCCCATGCAACAGAGGTCGGACGCCATAGGGCTGGTGGTGATTGATGAGGAGGACAACGGCACACTGCTGGTGCACTGCATATCAGCAGACGACATCTACCAGCGGCAAGAAGGTGTGGATGGTTATTGAGGCGTGTGAAGCAGGTGTGAGGGGCGTGATGTTTGTGTGTTATCATCTGCCGCTGTTGCTGGTGCACCGCATATCAGCAGACGGCTGGGTCGTGGTTGTGTGTCTGTCTGTGTGGTCTCATCACCATCACTTGCAGCTGGCGTGCATTGAATCCCAGCAGGTAAAGTCCACTAGCGCTTAAAAGGTGAAGGGTGGGTGTATGTCGACACATGCTGCTTTTACAACCCTATCCCCCTCTCCCACCTTCTCTCCCCCACTCTCACCCTGCTCTCCCACCTGCAGACACCATCATTTCATGGACGGACCCTGAGGTAGCAACAGACCTGGCGCTGAGTTTCCAAGAAAGCATGGGGTGCTCCTACATATGGTGCGTGCTTCTCTCGTGTGCATCGCTGCATGGTGATGCTCCGTGCTCCGTGCTCCTTGCTCCTTGCTCCTTGCTCTGTGCTCCGTGCTCCGTGCTCTGTGCTCCGTGCTCCTGCATGCAGTTTTCACTCTGCCATGTCCCTGTGCATCAAATTCACCCATCGCTGTTAACTGGTGTGCATGTTTATGTGCACTGTAAACGGATTGCCCCTTGTTCTCAATCGCCCCTCACCCGCAGGGAGCAAATATGCAATGTGCAGCGTCAAGTGCAGGTTCCTCCAGGCACTGGTGAGTGCCACACGTGTGTGTGTGGGGGGGGGGAGGATGGAGGGTGGGTGGGTTGGTGGTTGGGTGGGTGTGTGTATGGGTGGGTGCGTGTGTGTGGGTGGTGGGGTGAGGGGAGTGAGGGGTAGTGTCTGTGTGTGTTCTCACACTCCTCCCACGCCCTTGGATCTATCACAGCGTGCAAGTGAAGTACTGTAGCACCATTGGTTGTTTTCGTCCTTTGTCATCATGGTGACTTGCACTCACGACTCGGTCTTTCTAATGGGTTCTGTGGGATGCAAAGAGATGATTATGTTTCCTGCCGTGCTGCATGCATTGTGCTGTACTCTGTGTTTTGTGCTGTGTGTTTTGTGCTGTGTCGTGCGGTGCGGTGCTGTGCTGTGCTGTGCTGTGCTGTGCTGTGCTGTGCTGTGCGGTGCTGTGGTTTGGTGGGAGTGCAGAGGGCGGAGGGGCAGGAGCACGGGATGATGTAGCAATCCACGAAGCATCTCCAGAGAATGGTGGGTTACTTGAATGGTGGGTTACTCGAATGGTGGGTTACTCGAATGGTGGGTTACTTGAATGGTGGGTTACTCGAATGGTGGGTTATTCGAATGGTGGTAGGTTGCTCAGAAATTGTTCCTTGCTGATTGCTTGGTTGGTCAAATGCTCTTCTCCTTGCTGTCCCTGCTTTCTTCCTCTCCCTGTGTGCGCTATCAGCCCTTGAAGCAGCAACAGACATGTCTGAGTTACCTGCAGTGGAGCTCAGGAACCTTCCTGTCATTGCCAAGGTGAGACAAGAGGAATCTTCCTGTGAGGCCAGAGTGATTTCGCAGAGAAACCTTCCTGTCTTTATTAATCTGTGAGAGGTATATAATATGTTCTTGCGTTACACCCACCACCCTTCCCCCCCTCCTCTCCTCTCCCGTCCACTCCTTCCCTGCCCACCTAATTATGTTTCTTATAAGCTCTTGTCCCTCAGTGACTGTATGCCTCCTCTTACCAGCCCTTCAGCTCTCCCCCCGCCAACCTCCAGACCCCCACCTCCTTCTCCCCTCCCCTTTTCATCCCTGCTGCCACCCTACCCGCCGTGCTCCTCGCTCGTCTTCAAACCACCACACCCTGCTCCCCCCCCCCCCCCCCCCTTTTTTCTCCCCCTCCTCCCTCCCCACCCCCCTTTCTTTTTTCGCACCCCTGCAGATGCTAACAGACGTCCCATTGTTTCACAAAGACCGAATCGCCTCGCTCGTTCTTAGAGAGGTATGGGGCTGGGAGGGGGACAAGATATGGGCAGGGGGGGACATGGGTCGGAGGCACATAGGGGAACGAGGGTATGGGACATGGGGGGGTGGGGGTGGGTGGTGGTTGGAAGAATGTTTGAGCAGCAGGGGGGGGTAGGCTATGACCTCAGCTCTTGCATTCCACTCTCCCTGTGTGTTAACGTGCGTGTTTTGAGGTGCGCGCTGCCCCCTCCTTCCACTCCCCCATCCCGTCACCCATTCCCCCATCCCATCTCGCTCGCTCACATCCCATCCCATCCCCCTCACATCCCATCCCATCCCCATCTATCCCCCCCTCTCCCACCAGGGGTTATGTGCCGAAGCTGCTCGCCCTCCTCCCCCCATCCCCTGTTTCCCCATTCCCCCACTCCCCCGCTGTACCCCTTCCAGGGCTATGTGCCCAAGCTGCTGGACCTCTTCCGCCAGTGCAAGGAGGCCTGCTGCCTGCTCTCACTCACGCACCCCATCCCTTCCCGTCTCCATCCCCATATTCCCCCCCCCAGGGCTACGCGCCCAAGCTGCTGGACCTCTTCCGCCAGTGCGAGGACTTGAAGAATCCGCCCCTTCAAGCCCTGACTTCCTCCCTGCCTGCCGCGCCGCACATCCCCATACCTCCCCTTCCCCCTCAGGGCTATGTGCCCAAGCTGCTGGACCTCTTCTGCCAGTGCGAGGACTTGAAGAATCCGCCCCTTCAAGCCCTGACTTGCTCCCTGCCTGTCGCGCCGCGCATCCCCATACCTCCCCTTTCCCCCCAGGGCTACGTGCCCAAGCTGCTGGACCTGTTCCGGCAGTGCGAGGATCTGGAGAATCTGGACGGGCTGCACCACCTCTACCGCATTGCCAAGGGGCTGGGTGAGGGATACAATGTTTTAGGTTCATGATCTGGGGTATAGGGGTGGGTGGGGTGTGGTGGGGTGGAGGGTGGTAGGGTGTGGTGTGTGGGAGCAAGGTGCAGCACCAGTCAAGCCAGTGCGAGGATCTGGAGAATCTAGACGGGCTGCACCACCTCTACCGCATTGCCAAGGGGCTGGGTGAGGAAGGGGCACAGAGGTTTAGGGTATAGGGTGTGGAGAGTGGTAGGGTATGAGGGTGCAGGGTGTGGGACCCAGCACTAGTCAAGACAGTGTGAGGATGAGGAGAATCTTGACGGCCTGCACCACCTCTACCGCATTGCCAAGGGGCTGGGTGAGGGGTTTTAGAGCGTGGGCTATATGGAGTGGGTGGAGGGTGGTAGGATGTGGTAGCAAGGTGAAGCACCATGCACCCGAGTGCGAGGATCTGGAGAATCTGGACGGGCTGCACCACCTCTACCGCATTGCCAAGGGGCTGGGTGAGGGGTTTTAGAGCGTGGGCTATATGGAGTGGGTGGAGGGTGGTAGGATGTGGTAGCAAGGTGAAGCACCATGCACCCGAGTGCGAGGATCTGGAGAATCTGGACGGGCTGCACCACCTCTACCGCATTGCCAAGGGGCTGGGTAAGGGGTTTTAGAGCGTGGGCTGTGGTTGGGGTTGGGCTGAACCCTCTGATTTCGTTCAGGGTGTAGGGTTCAGGGTTTATAGTCTGGTTTTTTCATTCTGGACCATCTCGTTCCTGTGTGCGTGTTCTGTCTGCCCCTTGTCCATCTATCCGCTCCGCCCCTTTCAACTTGCGTGTCTGTCTCCCCTCCCTGACGGTCTCCTTCCCGCAATGTTGCTCAACTCAACGACACCAACCTCTTCGACCTGCTCTTCGCTGACTACGCCCTTACTTTCTCTCTCTCTCTCGTCTCCCCCTCTCTTCCTCGCCCGCAGTGTTGCTCAATGACACCAATCTGTTTGACCTGCTCTTTGCCGACAACGCCATCCTGGACCTCGTGGGGGCCCTTGAATGTGAGTGCCACGTGCCACGCCACATCAGCATAATAGTCAGTGCATTGTCAAAGTCTTGGTGCCACGTCAGCATTGCCGGTGCCATTCTAGACCTTGTCGGGGGCTTTTTGGCCACTATCAATGCTGCATACCCCGCTCTTGCTTCCGCTTCCCACTATCTACCAATGCCCCATACCCAGACGACCCAGCCTGCCTTCGCACCTGCAGCACCGCAAGTTCCTGTTGGAAACAAGTGGAGCACTCAAGGCCCACATGCTCACCTCACGTCCGTTCCCCACGCATGCTTTCCACGCCCCTCCACGCCCCCCATCAACGATGCCCCATACCATATGCACCAGGCGACCCGGACCTGCCCTCGCGCCAGCAGCACCGCAAGTTCCTCCTGGAGCAGGTGGAGTATCGCGAGGCCCACCCACTCACACCCTCACCTCTCTTCTGTTCCCCACACACACTCTTTATGCCCTACGCCCAGACGACCCTGACCTGCCGTCACGGCGGCAGCACAGCAAGTTCCTGCTGGAGCAGGTGGAGTATCGCGAGGCTGTGCCCATCCCCCTGTGCCCCATACCCCACACGCTACCCTCTGTGCCCCATATTCTGCACCTGCCTTCCTCTGACCCACTATGCCGTATTATCAGATGACCCGGACCTGCCGTCACGGCAGCAGCACCGCAAGTTCTTATTGGAGCAGGTGGAGTATCGCGAGGCCGTGCCCATCCCTTTGTGTTCCATACCCTGCACCTTCTTTCCTCTGTCCCAATACCATTGCCCTATGCCCAGATGACCCTGATCTCCCATCGCGCCAGCAGCACCGCAAGTTCCTGCTGGAGCAAGTGGAGTATCGCGAGGTCATGCCCTTACCTTGCACCCCGTTCCCCACACACACTTCCTATGCCCCTTCATCGTTACAGATGACCCTGACCTGCCCTCGCGCCAGCAGCACCGCAAGTTCCTCCTGGAGCAAGTGGAGTATCGCGAGGCCCACCCACTCACACCCTCACCTCGTTTCTGATCCCCACACATGTTTTCTCCTCAATGCCCCCTGTACCCAGATGACCCGGATCTACCATCGCGCCAGCAGCACCGCAAGTTCTTATTGGAGCAGGTGGAGTATCGCGAGGCCGTGCCCATCCAGGACCCGGCCCTGCGCTCCAAGATCCACCAGACGTACCGCCTGGGGTACATCAAGGTGCGTGCACCACCACACCACACTGTTTGCAGTGATTTCTGGGAGCAGATTCAAGCCCTGTGAAGGAGAGAGGCTCAGAGGCCGTGCCCATCCAGGACCCAGCCTGCGCTCCAAGATCCACCAGACGTACCGCCTGGGTTATATTAAGGAAAGGTGCGTGCTTCTGTTATGGAAAGGTGCATGCTCACTGCTTCAGTGGTTGCAGGTCGTTTATAGGTTCTAGAGTTTTGATCGACCTCACTCCAATCCCAAGCATGTCCCTTGTTTCATCCGATTCTTTGTTTCTCCGCCTCCCCTTTGCCTACCGTTGCCCACTTCCCCTTCCTCTGCTTCCCTGTTTGTGTGTTTTGCCTCATTTTTCCGGTCAGGATGTGATCTTGCCACGGGTTTTGGATGACCAGACATACGGGACCTTCAACTCCCTCATTCTGTTCAATAATGTGGAGGTGCGTCGGGGTGGGGACCGCGGATCTCAAAGATCTTCAAAGATCGCCATCAGCTGTGGTTGCATTCAGGCAGGGCTAGAGCTTGATGATCAGGAATTTACATTCTGTTCTTATTTTCTTTAGGGTTTCTTCTTTTAAAAAACAAAAAACTATTTATAGTTGTGCGGTCATTGAGGTTCAGTCACATTCATCCCTCCACTGTTTTCACGTGCATTCCTCCACCAACTCGTTCCCCCACCAACTCTTTCCCCCACCAAGCAGGTGGTGTCCACTCTACAGGGCGATAAGCCTTTCCTCACAGACCTCTTCTCCCAGTTGCGGTCCAAAGACCCCTCCTCCCCTGCCTTTAGAGACCTGGTGAGATGAGATGAGATGGGATGAGATGAGTTGAGATAAATGGGGAATTTGAGTCGATCCAAAATCCGGCTGCAATCCAAAGACTCCTCCTTCCACGCCTTTAGAGACCTGTTGAGTGAGATGCGTTGAGCTTGGGCAACATATGCACTAGGCACAGAGCAAACAGACAGATTTCGTGAGGTGAAAATACGTGGTTCAACGGGACGTGTCAGTCAAACGTTCTTCCTTTCCTCTCGAACGTTCAGGGGGACCCTGTAACCTACATCGGATATGCTCATTAAGACTTGATTCGGTTTGATTTGATTTTGCTCGTGAGTACCTTGCAGGAGTTCCTTCACTTCACCCCATCTCTTTTCCCTCTGACCTCTGCCTTCTCACCTCCTCGTTCGCCCTCACGACAGGTTCGGTTCCTTCAGGAGTTTTGCTCGCTGCACAAGCACCTGCAGATCACACAGAGAAACCAGTCCTTCAGGTATCTTCACCTCGCCTTCCTTCAGGTTTCCTGCTGCCTTTGGTGTTCCAGTTGAAGTGGTTGGACTTTTTTTTTTTTTTTTTTTTTTTTTTTTCCCTCGGACATCCTGACCTGACTTCAGCAGCTTTCTTCGCGTGTGTTTGTAACATGTTGATGGGGTTGTACTTTTGAGGCGCTACAAATAGCTTGAAAACAGTGCAAGTCATTCAACTGTATTCTTTAAACTTAAAGCTCTCACCCGTCCTTTATACAACTGCCCTGTCTGCCCCATTTGTCGACATGCAGTGCGCTGATTGGCCTGGGACTATTTGAAATCGTCACCACGATTTTGCAACACACTGACGCCTCCCTCCGCCTCTGCGGGTATGTCTTTCAACCTCTTCAGCCCCTCTTCAGCCCCCCCTGCACGCCCGAGTAACTTAAGAATCGAGTCAAAAGTCATCTTGCAACGCATTGATGCCTCCCTCTGCCTCTGCGGTTACGTCTTCAAAGTTAACTCCCATGTTCTCCCATATTGTATGTTCCTTTCCACTCTCCACCCGGTTGTCCTTTTTGTTCGCATCTGACTGTTTCTCCTTCCTCTCTCTGCCATTCCTTCTCCACACTCCCGCCATATGCCGGGATCTCTCCTTGCTCCTTCTCCTTGCTCCTCGCCCTCTCCCTCCTCCATCTCTCTCTCCCCCTGCAGCACCGACATTCTCATGTCAGCTCTCAGCCCTGACCCTGCCCCTTTGCGCACCTTTCTCGTGAAGCAGACTTTCCCCCATCCCTTCTTTATTTCCCCCCATGCCCCCACCCGCAATCCCCCCTCTTCTCCAGAACGGACATCCTCATGTCGGCTCTTAGCCCCGATCCTGCCCCCCTGCGCACCTTTCTCGTGGAGCAACCTGGGCACACGCTCTTCTCCTGCCTTGTAAGCCACACCCTTCATTTATCAGTTGCCTCAAAGTTCCACTTGAAAGGAACGAACCGTAGCAGTTTTCCCTTCGCACCACTCAACCTCCTGTTTCTTTTCGCCTTCCCCTTCCCCTTCCTCTCCCACTACCCTGTCTTTTCGCACTTCCCTCAGGTGAAAGGCATGGTGGAGCGCAGTCAAGGGGAGGAGGGGTCTCACGTACAATTACTAGAGATACTGAGGCAGTTGCTCGACACAGACACCATGAACACTGCCGAGAAGAACAAGTTGCTGTGCTTCTCCTTTCCCATTCACTCATCCCTCCCTCCTTTTCCCCTACCCCCCTCTTTCCCAATTTTTTTTCCATACTCAGGTGAAAGGCATGGTGGAGCGCAGTCAGGGGGAGGCGGGGTCTCACGTACAGCTACTAGAGATACTGAGGCAGCTGCTAGACACAGACACCATGGACACTGCCTATTGTGAGGCGCAATCTGCTGTGATTTCCCTTCCCATCTCCCCTCCCAGGTCAAAGGCATGGTGGAGCGCAGTCAAGGGGAGGCGGGCTCTCACGTACAACTACTAGAGATACTGAGGCAGTTGCTAGACACCGACACCATGGACACTGCCGAGAAGAACAAGTTTCTAGACGTGTTTTATGAGGAATACGTGGATGTGCTTGTAAAGGGGATAACCACCGCTGCCGCTGCTGCTGCTGGCGGTGGGGGTGGAGGGGGAGCAGCAGGGGGGGGAGGCGGAGGAGGAGGGGGAGGAGGGATAGCAGCGGGGTCGCCTGCCCCTGAGGTGCTGGCGAGTATATGCGACCTGCTGTGCTTCTGTGTGCTGCACCACAGCTTCCGGATGAAGTGAGTCGCGTCACATCCCTCCCTGTGCTTCTTGCTTCATGCTTGTACGGGGAGCAGTAGTGTCGCCTGCTCCTGAGGTGCTGGCGAGTATATGCGACCTGCTGTGCTTCTGTGTCCTCCACCACAGCTTTCGAATGAAGTGAGCCACATCATATTCATCCTGTGCTTCTTCCATTGCGCGCTCAGCTTCGATCTCTGTGCCTCATGCTCCACACTTGTTGTATGCTGTGTGCTTCTGTGCACTGCTCCACAGCTTCCGAATGAAGTGAGTCTGATTCCCATGCTCTCTGCTTTATGCTTGTGCGAGCAGGAGAGCAGAAGGGTCGCCTACTCCCGAGTGTTGGCTAGTAGTATCTCATGTCACCTGTTCTCTTCCCCTTTCCCCCTCCTTCCCGTACCCCCACTGGTATTACGTGCTGCAAAACAATGTGCTGGAGAAGGTGCTGCGGCTGGTGCTGCCTGTTCTCACCTCGCTACCCCTCTTCCCCCCCTCTCCCCCTTACCTCTTCAAGGTACTACGTGCTGCGGAACAACGTGGTGGAGAAGGTGCTGCGGCTGGTGCAGAATATTTGAAGCCACTAATTTTCTCCTTGTCACTTGGTCCACCCCATCCTGTCCCCCATCCCGTCCCCCATCACGTCCCCCATCTCCCCCCCATTCAAGGTATTACGTCCTGCGGAACAACGTGGTTGAGAAGGTGCTGCGGCTGGTGAAACGGAAGGAGAGGTACCTAGTTGTGGCTGCCGTGCGCTTCCTGCGCTCCTGCATCAGCCTCAAGGTATGAACGGAATGATGCATTCTAAAGGCATAGCCCCAAAATGTAGAACAATCAGGATGTATGCACTTTAGAGCCAACAGCAGGTGCGCCCACCTCATTCCCCCACCATGCTCCCTCTTCCCCCTCTTTCCTCCTCCCATCTCCTTGTTAACCAGGACGACTTCTACCTGCGCTATCTCGTGAAGAACTGTCTGTTTGAGCCGGAGATCGCAGCCTTCAGAGCCAACAGCGCTGCTCCCCCCACATGCACACACATGCCCTCTCTTCCCCCTCATTCCCCCTCCCACCTCCCACCAGGACGACTTTTACCTGCGCTATCTCGTGAAGAACCGTCTGTTTGAGCCGGTGATGTCTTTGTGGGAGGGACCAACACACACAGACCCTCCTTTTTTTCCAATCCCCACCTCCCACCAGGACGACTTCTACCTGCGCTATCTCGTGAAGAACCGACTCTTTGAGCCCGTGATCGCAGCCTTCCGAGCCAACGGCAGCCGTTACAACCTGCTCAACTCTGCAGTGCTGGACCTTGTAGAGTTCATCCGCAAGGTGTGTGTGTGGTATGGTGGTGTGTGAGCTGGTGGTGTGTGGTGCGGTGGTGTGTGGGCTGGTGGTGTGTGGTGCGGTGGTGTGTGGGCTGGTGGTGTGTGGTGCAGTGGTGTGTGGGCTGGTGGTGTGTGGTGCGGTGGTGTGTGGGTCGGGCGACAGCCGTTACGACTAGTTTGGGATATCTCTGTGTTTTGATTGTTTATGACCAGTTTGCTGTGTTGATGCGAGGTTCCTACTTGTGGTTACTGCTCCACGTGGTAACAGTGTACTGAGCATGTCTGTGTGTGGATGTGTCCGCTTGTGCATCTGAGCGTGCATGCATGTCACAATGTGTGCATGTCACCGTGTGTGCATGTCACCGTGCGTGCATGCCATGCCACCGTGTGTGTATGCTACTGTTTGTGCATGCAACCATGCATGCATGTGATTGTGCATGCATGTGACTATGCATGTGACTATGCGTGCATGTGATTGTACACGCATATACCCATGCATATGAGCAGGAGAACATAAAGTCGCTGGTGACGCGTCTAGTGGAGACATGCGCCTCCTGGTTTGACTCAGTTGACTACGTTGACTCAGTGTGTGTGGTTACTGGTCATGTGCCCCTGCATGCATATGAGCAGGAGAACATAAAGTCGCTGGTGACGCATCTAGTGGAGACATACGGCACCTGGTTTGACTCCGTTGACTACGTTGACTCCTTCAAGCTCCTCCGCCTCAAATACGAGCAAAACCTCGAGTCAATGCGGCCAGCAGAAGAGCCCTCTGCTGCCCCTCCGCCCTCCCACTTGCCACGGGCCACAGCCGTTAGTGTCCAATCGGGTGGCGACAGCTGGCGGCACGAGAGTGGTGGAGGGGGGCCGGCAGGGGGAGAAGGGGGGAGGAGTGGGGAGGGGGTGGAGCGGGGAGGGCGAGTGAGGGTGGAGAAGAGGAGAGTGAGGGAGGAGAGGGAGCTGGAGAGAGAGGAAGAGGATTACTTTGAAAGCGGAGGGGACAGGTGCGTCCCCATAGTGGTGGCTGTCTGATATTCTCTTGTTTCCTTGTCCTCCCTCACTACTATTGCTTCTCGCAGTGTGGTTTTGTTTGTTTGCACCCCTCTCCCCTTCGCCTGACCCCAACCCCCCTTCTTCCCCACCTATTTAAGGATCAAAGTCATGTGCTTTCCTCTCAGGGCTTCAAGTGCTCGCATTCCTTCCCGTGCTTATACCGAATCACTCAGTGACGAGGATGAGCCAGCAGCACAGGAGGAGGAGCACGATGACAGCCTGCCAGTGCTCGACCCATCAGGCACACCCCCCCTGCTACGCCACAAGTCTCGCTCTCCCTCTCCGCCTCGCTCCCTTGCCAACGGCATCGTTGCAGACCCGTCTAGGTGAGTCTCCTTTCGCTGTTTTTTCATTGTCCCGCGGTTTCTGCGCTCTGCCCCTCTTGTTCTGTCTCGTCCCCCCCTTCTTCATCCCCATCCCCACTCCTTTCACCTGCCTAGTCCTCTAGCTCCCTCCTACCTTTGTGTCAATATATCCATATCCTGGTCCTTTTCATTTATTTCTCTTATCCTTGTCTTTTTTTCCTCGCCCCTTCGCATGCTCTCTCTATGCAATCAGCTCAAGCTCCCCGTGTTGATTGTTGATTGTCTTTTCCCCATCATCGCACCTTCCAGGAAGCCGCCTTTTGGACTCGTGGATTACGAGGATGAGGACGATGAAGACCGGCCCTCCCCCTCCTCCTCCCCTTTCCCTCCCAGCCCCCGCCCCTCCACCGGCTCCCCTGCCTCGGGAAGAGCCTTCGAGGCTCGGGAAGAGGCTCGGGGAGAGGCTCGGGGAGAGGCTCGGAACGGGCCGAAGCGGAGCGGTTCGGGAGGAGCAGGTTCGGGAGGGAAGGATGGGCCGTCCCAAGGTGTGCAAAAGAAGCGGAAATCTTCTGATGGTGGGGGAGGATTCAGGAGAATATCTGGGGGAAAGATAGTTGTTGGGGGAAAGCTTGGGGCAATGTTGGCCCGATCTGCTCTGGTTAAAGGAGGTGGGAGTGGGGGGACTGTCAGGGGCGGGGGAGGAGGGGGAGAAGCAGGAGGAAGGGGAGAGAAAGGGGGAGGTGGGGATGACAAAGGGAGAGATGAAAGAAGAGGTGATGGGGAAGAGAGGCAGCAACACAAGGAGGAAAGGAGGCGGGAGGAGAGGGAGAGGGACAAGCAGGATAGGGTCAAGGAGGAAAGGGATACGGAGGAGAAGACGAGGGGTGAGGGGGGGAGTGAGAAGGCAGGAGAGAAAGGCAGCAGCAACGGAGGTCCAAATCGGTGCAGCAGTAAGGCTATCGAGCAGCACTCATCCCCGAAACCCTCCTCTTCCCCCTCATCCCCCTCATCCCCCTCCTCCTCTTCTCCCAAGTCCTCCCCCAAATCCTCTCCTTCCTCCTCGCCGAAAGCTTTCTCATCACCGAAATCATCTCCATCGCAATCTCCCAGATCCTCCCCGTCGCGATCGCCTAGAGGAGAATCGCCTTCCCCATCAGCATCCCCATCAGCATCCCCAACTCCTTTGGAATCCCCATCCCAATCGCTGTCCCCATCCCCACCCGCATCGCCTAGAGCTTCCTCTCCTGCCGCTTCCCCTCCTTCCCCGCGACCAACAGCAGCAGCAGAAACGGCAGAAACACGAGGGCCAGCGGAGGCACGTGCAGCAACATCGGCAGGAGGAGCAGCCGAAACTGGTGCGGCGGAAGTGAGAAAGGGAGAGGAACCGAAGGATGGTGGGGAATTGAAGGATGGTAGCAGCACGGTTAGTCATGTTGCTTCACCTGGTGATGCTGCACATGCTGCAGCAGCCACCACCTTGCAGACTACTGGAAAAGGATGTGGAACAGGGGGAGGTGAGCCTGAAGCCAAGGGTTCAATTGTCTCTGATCGTCGCTCTTCTCCTGCTGCTGCCGCTCCTGCTGCTGCAGCTGCCGCCGCTGACTGTGGCAGCTCTGGCAATGATGCTCGTGATACTGACATGGGTGACAATGGGAAGGGAGTGTTGGGAGAGAAAACGACAGGTTCGACTGGTGGAGGTGGCATTCAGGGTGATAGTGGCAGCAAACGGAGACCGGAAGAGGAGGGTAAGGAGTGGGTGGAGGAGAGGAAAGAGTACAAGAGAGCAAAGGAGAGCAGTTCTGTTGTGCTCTGAATATATTTGGATGACAGTGGAGCTTTGAGGCGTCTCAAAACCCTAGAGAACACCTTGTTGCCCTTAGATTACCCAGTTTCGGAAAAAGCAGAGTGGAGCAGCATAGTGCTGTGGTGGCACGAGGATGAGGGGAAATGCCTTGCTCTTGGATTGCATTATTTGTATGGGCCACGGACTGGGCTGTCTGATTGTACAGTTAAGGATAAACAATGGCCATGAGCTGGCCCTTTTTGAAAGCTCTAATTGTTTGTAGAATGACATGTGGATGGTGTGCATGCAAAATGCAGGATATGTAGGCTTCTATGAGGTCTAATCGTAATTTGGTCATTTAAGATTCTACAATGGAACAAAGCACTCGCTTTTCTATCTACACTGCGTCTAAAACCGAAACCTACACTAGCGCGACACACTGAGTCTGCTCATTTTTTTTTAATAAACCCCATAAATCGTTCCACGCCTCATTCAGCCGCATTCGGAGGTACTTTGGGGACGTCCCCGCAAACGACATGGCATCCATGTCCTGCTTCACGAATCGCATTTGGGATTAGGGTCGGGCTGGGTTTCCAGTACAAATACACAGCAAAAACGACGAAAATAACATCAGGTTGTACAGTACAGCAATATACGCACGACATTGGCCCTGTTCGATAGCAATTCGGCAAAAAGCCCCCAACCATTGTCCAAGCACAACGGTGGGAGCATAAAGACAAACGGTGCTCGTTCGGCACCGCCGGCAGCGTAATGATTGAAGCCGACTGCCTGCCGGCTTCTTTCTGCAGGTCTAACGGCCGAGGTGTTCGGAAACACCACATCAACGGCCAATTGGTGTGGAAACATTCTGTGTTTTTTTTCTGACCCGGGCCCTGGCGGAACCATGGTCAGCGTCAGAAAAAGTATCGCAATCAAAATATTCCCTCTGAAAAATATATAGTGTTTTACAGAGCGGTTCCAGATCGAGTGAGCTGTGTCCCAAGGAGTGGGCATGCCACTGGTTTAGACTGTTATTTTACCTAAGATATCCCTCAATACCCCAACCGACAGAAACCGTTGCTCCTTCACCGAAAAGTAGAAATGGCATTGGTGTGGTAACAGAGCGGCGTTTTGCCCGAGAGGAGCTGTGACGAGGATGTAATCATTGGGCGAGAGTCACTGTTAGGGCGCGCTTCGGCGTCTGGAACCATTGTTGAACTTCCCGCCTTGTAATCCCGCAAAGGCGGGAAATCCGAGACATCGCAGTGGGATCGTTCGCGCTAGCGGGAACTCGGACTCGTCGCAAGGAGTGCCACGTAGATTCCCGCCCAATTCTCCCCACCGTTTCCAAGTTTTCTTCTTCTCGTTCACCCTGCTATCGAACAGGGCCATTGTGTTTGGTGTGCCGGGTCAGCAGCACTGAACTCTTTGATTTGAACTGTACTGTACAGGTGGCGTTAGACGCACCTGAATCAAACCCGTTACAGTACAGTAAGTGCCTAACGCTTGACTTGAAAGGCACGTAACGCTGTCCGGGCAGCTCGTTCGGTGGAGTTGGTTTCCCCTGAAAATGAAGATCGGAGGATTTTGGGATGCCGTGTCTGTTGTGTAGTGGTGCCGCAATATCTGGTCTAAATGCTACTGTAACGAACACGCCGTCTGGTGGTGACGTGGGCAAGCAGCGAAGCACTGTAACAATCAACTTCGCAGCCAATCGTGTGAAGGCTGCCATTTCCTCTCGCCTTCTTCACTTCGATCGCCCTTGCATCCCGCACCTCCACTTGCTTTTTCAGAAGTCTCCACTTAACTCTACTGTACTTCTATTGGATGACGACTGTTTTCCGCCTGCAGTCTGCCCGTTTCCGTTAAGTACCGTACGGTGCAAGCCCCGCAAATTGCCTCCTGCATGGTTGGGCAAACAAAGGTGTTTGCCGTGGGGTCGAGATTTACGGCTCAAAACGGTTTTGTACGTGATAGAGCGGTTTTTGCGTTTTCTGTATTGCACCGTAATATAACAATTTGAACCGCAATGGATGGAAGGCGTGGGAGCTCGAAAATCCCCTTGCTGCCGTTAGAAATACGCGATGTTTTTTCTGGTACAGTACTGGAATTAACTCAATAGCATACAGTAATATTTTCAGTGCGCACAGTAAGGGCGCGTGTCTTTTGAAACCTAGGCCAAAGTTCATGTTTTTAGGTCGAATTTTTGCAAATGAACACAGGTCGACCAGTAGTCGACTATCTCGTCATTCATTTGTCGAGTCGCGTGTTCACCTTGACGAGGAGTACATGGCACAAGAAATGCTCGACTTTCAGAGGTCGAATTTGTACAGTAAAACCCGACTCGCGCCCAGCTTTCGTATGTTACCCTGTCTATACAGTGGAGTTCGCTAACACTTTCAGCTTTGGTAACCTGGCGCGACGTTGTTCGTAACCATCGCGAAGCTCGCAGCTTCTTCGTGCGTGGGCAGAAGAACACACGATTGGAGAAAAGTGCTCGGGGATAGTCGAATGCGAGGTCGACCCTAGTTCAGTGTCCTTCTGTTTCGGCAACTTTGAGCTTGGACACACGATCGTCGTCAACAGCTCTTAACGAAATTGGCGAAGATGGTTACCAGCAAAAGTTCGACCTTTTTTTTGAACTTCTACACCAAAAGACACGCGCCCTAATGCTTGACCCTCCGCCAGTCGTTCAATCCCATTGACTGCTCCTCGTGCTCTCCCCAACTGGGCCACAGCCCCCCCTCCCTCATCCCAGCATCCCCCCCCCCCCTCCCCCCCCACCCACCCCACCCTTATTCCCGCTCCCCGTCACATCTCGTTCACGAATCACGTGTAATTTGGTCATTTGCATTTTTGACCTATTGCGCGCCCTGTCAGCACGGGACATTCCCGCTGTACGCGTGACTGACGGTGACGGCTGCTGCTGCGACCTTTCCTTCCGTTGTCTTGCTGGCGAGGCGTGAAAATGCCAAATCTCATTTTTGCAGAGTCATTGGAGGTCCGTCTACGTCTCTCTCAATCGAGGAGCATGGCTGCAGGAAAAATATAAGTCCAGCGCAGCATAGCAAACAACTCGCTTTATTCTTTGTCAAACCTTCCGCGTCGTGGACTTCTGTCGTCTCGTCTCGCACATATGAAGTCAGGACCGTACCTCCCCAAGTACTTGTTCGTCACTCTTCGCTTGACTCGTTTCTTTGAATAGACTCTCATTTCTCACAGATTTATGTACTCTTGGAAGTTCCGTCGACAATGATCTTGGCTCACCAGTCCCTGATTCCTCTTCAAGAATCGTACTCCTCTGGCTGCCCAATGTATTCTCTAGTAAGCGATTCTCCTGCCAGTAGCTCTCAACCAAGCGACAGCTCTGCGACATCGTCGCCAACGTCGCAGTCCCTCGCGAGCCGTCGCTCACTGAAACTTGCGAGCCTTCGAGTGCACATCCCACAGCAGCACTCGTCGCCAGCAGTCCTCGGATACCCCCTTCCGAATGGGGGCTCCGCGTCAGGAGTACAGTCAGCATCACTGCCACGCCGCGAAAGATCTCAACCCCCGGATTTTGCAGAAGACTCGATACTGCTCAGCTCGATAGCACCAGAAGAACTGACTGCAAGGTCTTCGTTTTCTGGCAAGGCCCCCTCCCGCGGCTCGAGATTTTCGTCCCGTCATCATGCGCCCGAATGTCCCGCCGCCTTGGCCGCTGACGCCCCCGCGACGACTATCACCACGCTGCCGCGGCGCGCATCGGCCAGCGAATGCTCCCCCGTTTCCATTAGCAGCAGCGACAGCGGCAGTAGCAGCAGCAGCGGTTCGGTTTCTTGCGTGTTCCCAGCCACGTCCCCTCTCTCTCCTCCTACGCCCGCCACGTCAGCTTCTGTCGCGCTCGTATCGTCACCGACGTGTCATGCTCTTCGCGGCAAATACCGCGGTTCCACTAGGACGGCGCGCCCCCCATGCACAGCTAACCTGGGGGGACCTGGCGGAGACTCCGCTTCCGCGCAGATTTCCCCCTCCCCTTCCGCCTCCCCCTCGGGCTGGCGCCCGCCGACCCCCGCGGTGGTGCGCAGCCCCAACGCGGAGGTCATTGCAGAGCGGTCGCGCGATTCCCCCGACATGGACCGCGTGTGGGTGAAGCTGGCGGAGCAGCTAGAGCGCGCCGAGCAAGCGGGAAAGAAGCCGGCGCAAGGGTACCGCGCCAGCTCCCCGCCCGGGGGACTTGAGCGCAAGTTGACAGCGCCCGCGGCCCTCCGCCGCGCCTTGTCCGCATCCTCCGCGGCTCTCCAGAGTGCCTCGTCGCCTGCTGCGCCCCCGCCCGCCCGTCGCTCCGCCACGGCATCCCTCTCCTTCCCTT